ATCATTGAGTTTCTGTCTTCAATCTTCAGCCGGGAAGGTTTTCCTGATGCCATAGTTACGGACAATGGTCCACAGTTTCAGTCCCAACATTTCGAGGCTTTTCTTTCACAACGAGGAATTCAGCACTTGAGGTCATCAGTTTTCTATCCCCAATCAAATGGCCAAATCGAGCGCTTTAATCGCGTTCTGAAGGAACATATCCAGATCGCCCAATTAGAGCACCGTCCCCTCAAGCAAGTCTTGACTGAATGTTTAGCTTCGTACAGGTTCACACCACAAGGCACCACTGGAGTGTCTCCTGCTCAACTTCTCCACGGTAGGCAACCGCGAGTTGCTCTCGACATAGTCTCTTTGCCTCGTAACATAGCAGTGTCTTCTCCTGATCAAATTCGTACCAGGGTTTTTTCTCGTCAACAAGCAATGAAAAAGTATTTCGACACCCGTCGAAGTGCAAAGCAGTCCAAAGTTCGCACTGGCGATCTAGTCAAGGTTCGTGTGCCAGGCAAGCGCCCCAAGTATCGGGGTCCTTACAGAGTCTTGGGCCAGGTTAGCCCCACTTCTTTTCGCTTAAGTGATGGTAACATCTGGAATACTTCACGCCTTGTTATTTTTCATACGGATTCGCCTTCAACACCTAAAAGTCTTCCTCATCACGTTCCGTCCACGCCTTTCAACTACGCATCAGACTGTTACATGTGGCCTCCATGTACAGGCATTTCTTCTTCAAGGGGGGAGGAGTTACCAGGCGGTGTCGCTGGTTCAAGTACACCAAGTCATACGGTTCACTTCGAACCTTCAAATACGGCTGAGACCGTTGAACCGGACTTCGGTCCGCAAAATTCTTCCGAAGCTCATGCTGCGAGCTCTGATGAGACCCCAAAATTTTAACGCTCGTTCAGAGCCTTCACAATCTTCCACTCAAGGTGCAGAGACACCTGATTCTACACCCAAAAGGGCCCGCCCTAAGCGGAAGCGGCAGAAACCGCGTCGGTTCGAAAACTACGTGATGTAGAACTCTTGTTCCGAACAGTTGTGTACATTTTTCTTGGTTGTCAGTGAATTTTCAGGACTTGTGTGTGAGTTCGGTGTGCCATGCTCTGAATATTCATGTGTTCTAATGTACATACCTTGTCAAATATGTTGGTATTGAGCATGTATAAATATAAACAGTGTATAGGTGTGCTTTTTTCGAGGAGGGGATCATTGTTGTGTTCTGGGTTTTCAGTTTCGGTTTCGGATTGACATGTGAGGATGCCAGGGGGCGCCGCTCTGGCATCTAGGATCAAGGAGGATACATAAAACTTTTAAAGTTTTATGTATCCTCCTTGTCTAGGATAAGGTCCCTAGATAAAACAAGTTTCCAAGGTAGCGACACCCTCCCTTTTCCTCCTCGCTTATTTGCCTGAAGCGCCCCCTAGAAGGTTTAAAACTTTCATCCAAAAGCGAATGTTTGGGTTCTGTTGCTACGGTGAATAGATGTAAATGAAACAAAATAGAACGAAATAAGACGTAGAATAAACAGTTACCTTTATGAACATAAACGGCACAACACAAGAGCAAGCGGGATGTGCGTTACTCAACCGACAACGTTGTGCAGTTGTATACTTTACACCACTAGCCATGGCGTCTCGCGTAGTACATTTTAGTTCCACGGCTGCGGTGTTTCGTCCAGTTCTAACTAGTCCACTTCTCCGATTGTGTTTTGTTCGTGCTGTGACACAGTGAACGTGCTTCTTGCTGGATCCTGTAAGTGGCCACAGGGCGTGACGTTGTGACGATTGATTACAACCGGCTTGTGCACACGCAAGAAAAAAAAAACTACGACCAGACTGGTACGAACACTCGTCCAGCAGCACTGCGATCACGTTTTTTTTTTTAAATGTGCCCATTTGGACAATCGTGATGCCATGTGATTCTGATGCGGTGCTGGGAACTTCCTGAAAAGTGAGAGTTCTACTGGTGAGGTGTCTCGAAGCAGCGCGTTTCGGCTCAAGCGGGAACTGGTCAAGAGTGAAATGTTTCTGAAGGTGCGTTGATTAGAACCTACAGCTACTCTGTATACGTGCATACCCACATGTATTTGTACCAACTGGCATGCACTAGACACGCATTAGACGCGCGCCTGGCGTTTCAATAAAAACCGACAAGTGAACTCGCTTCGCAGATCCGCGTCGACACACGTTGACGGAGTTGCACGAAAGCATTCGCGTGAAATGGTTCATAGTTGCACTTCATGGTGCGCTTCATCTCGGAAAGCACGAGGTAAGTTGAAGAGAGCGAAACCATTTTCTGTTGTTTACGGCAACGCAGCATTGCTGAAAAACGCAGATGTTGCATTGAACGAGCATGGCGAAACAATCTTGGTCGACTTAGCGCACACCGAAACGCTCCTCCTCTTCAGTTTATGTTCTGGCTACGATTTTGTCTTTGGTCACGGCGAGAATCCGGCTGGAGCCATATGCGCATGCGTACTCGTTTTGAACCTTTTGCATAACAATAAATAACACCACCAGCCATTTGCAAGATCACGTGCAAGTAATGCACCAATTACAGAGGCGGATGGCAGAGAAAAAAGAGGAGTAATAGAGAGAGTGAGGAGGACGGCTCGAGAACAATAAGTGACGCTACCTTGTTTCATCTAGGGACCTTAATCTAGGATTTCAAGGCGACTTTAAAATTAAGACAGTGTGTGTTGGGTAACCGTGGAGTGCGGGTTTGTGCTTTCTTTCGGCGCTTCGCGCCAACCCGCGTGTTCGGGCTGGTCGGTGTCCCTGCCGGCCGCGTACGTCTCCGTCGGCCGTCTTCTTCTTTTTCTGCTTCGTCGGGACCAGCCAGCCCTCAATACAGCAGCTACCACTGCGTCAGGGCTGCTTGACATGCAGAGATTAACATAAAAATAATTCCCATAGGCATGAAGTCACAGACATCGGCAGTAAGAAATTCGCTTAGCAAAGTAAGCAACAGCAAAATCTAATTATGAATGTACAAAAACATGTTGCGTGCATACCTCTCATTCCTTGTTGTAAACGGAAGCCTCCTTCACCTGCGAAACGCACTTCGCCCCGACGAGGACTAGGCCATCTACACTTAACATAGATTAGTAATTAACGACGTCTTCTCTGATGGGGCGCGTCACTACAAAATGCGTCTTCGAAGGCTAGTCTATTCAATGGTGCGACGAGAGGCCGTTGCTCCAAACAGTCTTTGTACCTGTCGTTTACTGTCTTTAGAGTACTTTGTACAGTGCTGCCCGCCTCCGTGGTCTAGTGGCGAAGATACTCGGCTGCTGACTCGAAGGTCTCGGGGTCGAATCTCGGCTCTTAGAGATGCCCACTAAGGCATCTCTAATAATCATATGGCGGTTTTGGGACGCTAAAGCCCACATATCAATCTATCATTCTTACAGTACTTTTACTCACTCTCTTCACAACCATACGCATAGGGAGAGCGGAAACCTCAGGACTTGGTATACATGTGCGCATCTGTTTAAACTACCGCTGATAGTACTAACATCACAGGGGAAAACTCATGCCTGTGCCCCCCTCCCGTGTCGGTGTGAACCAACCCCCGCTTCTCCCGACAAAAAATTCGGGCTACGCCCTTGTCCTGTCGTCTGTATTTCCCTTCTTCCCTGGTTTCTTTTTCGCCACGCTCAAAGAGAGCTGCACTATATATAACCTTACGATTTTATTTGCGGTCGACTTCTCGTTCGCATGCTTCGGCGGTTTCCCCTTTGTGTGGAGTCACAGGCGAGTGTATTCGATTGGTCTTGCGGCGTTACCCCACCGACCGGCTATTCTGTGATTGTCACGCTGCGATGCGTATTAGGTTAATTAACCCGAGTTTATTAACGACTTGTCTCGAGTACCATTTCTTCACCATGTTAGAGAGTTGACAAACCCAGCCGTAGCTTCTTTGTGTGTGGCAGAAATAAAAATAAGCGACCAAAATGTGGTATTCCGATCGCATATCTTTATTCATAGGGTGAAATTCTCCAGCAAGCTTATCTCCACGTTACTGCAGTCCAAATTGGTTTAGGCATATGGCTGAAACTGTGCGAGTGCCGTATCTTTCTCTTTGAAAACAACTGTATTCAAAATCGGGCAATTCTCTATGGCAACGAAACTCAAGAGGCAGTATCGAATAAACTATAAGTGAAATCCTGCCTCCGTTTTTATACTCATACAGACTCATTATCCATCACTGCGTAAATAATAAGGCTTAAAATGTAACGAGCAAGCACACATTCATTAGGTTCCAATCTTGTCCTATTTGCTTTCCTTTTCTGCATTACTTCTACACTTAGATTTTTAGGTTTTCTTTAGAAAGCATTAGTGCTTTAAATGTGCTTTGAGGCGCACAGCTCTCAATTCTGGCATCAGTGGCACTGAGCTTGTTTAGCAGCAGTGGCAGATGATCCACGTTCATGAGTTGTGTTGCTCATTGTTAGAGAAAAATTGGCTGATACTATTTTGCACATATACGCGCATCACTCTACATTAAAAAGAGAATCTCGTACTTGGGTGGCGTGACTAGTATAGAGAATTTCATACAGCCAGTTTCGCATCAACCACCGCAAACCGCCTAGCTAAACAAAAAACCGCAAATTTTTTGCACTCCCTTCAGTGCTCGAGAAGATCGACCGTCATCTTCTTATCTTGCCTACTCAAGTAGAAGGAAAATCATAACGTGAGATATTCAACGCAATAGCCAGCAAAGGCCATTTCATAGCATCGTACTTCAAACCCGAGCAAAATTAACAGAGGCAGCAGCCTGTTTGAATGTAGCGCATTAAAATAATGATGCATCAAAAAGAAATTTAATGATAATTTAACTTGTTTTCTAATATTCCGCATAAATACCTCTTCATTGCCTGACAATTCGACTTCACCTTAGCATACAGACAGCTCAATCATTTTAAATGTTTCTCTTATGACCCTTCTTACCTTGATAGGCAGTCCGTGATACCTCAAGCTAGACAGGTAATAACCACAAATATAGAGGCGTAATCAAAGAGGTGCCTTTATTACATCATTTTTCAGTAAACTGGTGATCATTGACCATGACCACGTGTATACATAATAATAATATAATCGTATGTATATATATTTATCATAATATGATGGCGTGTAGATACAAGCACTCACGATATGACGCAATACGGATAAAGCAATCACATATCTCCCCAATCACGGTGTAGTGTTTATACAGATATGCTAAGTGTGCGTGTGTATTTGTGTGGCAGAACAGCAAAAATTTCTTTTTTCATCCCATAGTTTTTGTTTCAGCACCGTAAAGTGGGTCGTAGTAAAATAGGTGTAGTGATTTGGTTGTGGTATAGCAAGGAGAGACGGTGAGAAGAATTCGTCGTATAGAAAATACCTTCGGCACGTCTATGAGCGGGCCACAGTTTAGCTTGGAAAGCTTCGCGAACGACGCTGGTCACTGTTTTTTTTTTTTTTTTTTCTCACAAAAGTGCGAAAATTACACACGGGAATGACATGAAGTGGGTTCGTCAAGTGACTAACCCGTGAAGGAGGTGATGGCATCGGACCTTCGTGCAGCAATCAGTGGACACAGCACTGTGACCCCAAAAAAAGTACAAATCATGAAAAATTTACGCCTTCATGAATGACAACGTCCACGAAAATCAAGATGCAAAGGAATAATTGCAGTCGCCTTCCTCGAGTTCCACTTTGTTTCTCTGCTGCCAGCACAAGAAGTGCTTCATTGTATGTTTCAAACCATGTGCTTATTTAGTTGTCAGTGCATATTTTATTTCCTTTGCGGTATTACTGTGAATGTGAATTGTCCTTACTCAATAGGTAATCACCAGTTTCTCACATGGCAAATGGTCTGGGGAAACTTTTAGAGCGATTGATTGGGCCTGAAGTAGCAGCACGTCAATAGCTGCCTGTCATTGTAATTCTGAACTAATCCCGAGTGTTTATCACTACAACAGACACTTGTGTCACTTATGAAACAACATGTGAGGCATTGAGTGTCGATAACTACAATTACACGCTGCAAATAAACAAAACTCTATGTTAATAAAACCCTCGCTTCCCAAGTTTTTTTTGCTTTTATTTCTGAGAGAGCTCTTGATGCACCAGGTAAATAAATAACTTGATGCCACTGTTAAACTTACAAATTACAATGTCTTTAGCCTGTCAATGGCTAAAATGTTGCTAGTGATTCTGAAAAATAGACAGGCCCTGTGCGCCACTGTGAGGCTAACTTGTAAAAGAGCTCATCAAATCGCCAACCCTAACAATAAATACCACTTAACCATAGCCTAATGTATACATAAAAATACATCTGGTAGAAATACATACAAAAGTCAACTGTTGAAAAAAAAATGTTTGAAGCGAAAGATCTCGAACACATACCCTAAGCATGCTTGGGAAAATTTAGGCAGCCGGTTATTTTGGCAACTTTTTTTTTTGAGATTCTAGTGTGCTGTAATACAACAAACACATGCATTCATGTATATATATATATATAGAGAGAGAGAGAGAGAGAAACTTGAAGCACTGTCATAAAAGAATAAACTGGACGCTTTGCTCTAAATTGGACACTTTCTTAATGTTGCATTTGTGACTAAACTGAATGTCACAGCAGTGTCAGCAGATACAATAAGCAATGTTTGTGAAAGGTAGCATCAGCGGTGTGTCCAGGAATCAAGCGTCCCAACAATGGCAACAATACCAGAGATATGTCACAGAATAGGCCATTGATTGGTGATTGAAGATCCGATGCCTACAGGTAGCAAAGAAAGTGATACTTTATACCACCAACATTAGAGGTTACGACGAAACAATCGAGACAGAGACAATGAAGCATCATATATTGTGCTCGGCATTGGCGATTGTGCAAGACACCGGCAATGTGCACATATATCATGATAACGCATAAAAACAGGTGAGTTATGGTGCACCCACAGCTAAGATGAATTCCGAGTGATTCACTTACCACACCGCTCTGTTTCAACATTAAGCCCTGCTTTGGGACATAAATTTCACATAAATTTGAAAAATATGTTTCTACGCACACTGCCAAATTTAGCTGAACATATCAAGTGCAGAATATGCACTGGTGCAGCCTCGCTTCTAATCAATCATTGTGCTAAGTGTGATTATTCTTCACTATTCAATCAATGAAACATCAAGTGTTTTCAATGTTGAAGTGATTAGATTGAAACCTCAACCTTACAAGGTTATCTGGGAAGCTGTTGTGACTATTCTAATCAGATCGACTCTTCATAGAAAATAGCTTTTGCGACATCAGTACATGTTCATTACTTTTAACATAAAATCTGTTAGTACAATCAACAGCGAATAAAAACCTACTGCGTGCAATGGCTCCTCAACTGAGAAGATGTGGTAAGCGTACAATTAAACATCTTGTACAATACACTCTGTATTTCCTTTGCCAACATACTGCCCATCAACACCAACATCAAAAGACAACACGCATCGTAATTCCACATAAAAAATAGCACACATTTTGACAAAGAAGCAAGCAATCAGAATAAATAACACCTATTCATGCAATCCCTTTCATTTACCAGCCACACTGTAAATTACAAAACGATTATAAAGATAGCAAGCAAAATACACAACGTGCAGAAATTGAATAAGATAGTTGGTTAAACAGCGCCAGTACTCCTCTGGTAAGTAACACCGCACTAAAGCATCGAGAAGTAAATCGTGTGATCACAGGTGTGTTAGATCTTGCCGGATAAATGCTTTAAACTCTGTCACTCATTCGACAAGACGTGAATCAAGAACTGAAGCATATAAGCCACCTATAATTATGAAAAATTGGCAAATATAGACAAAGATAGGTGGTCCTCCAAAATGCACACCAATTGCGCATCAAAGAAGATTGGCGATAGTCTCCCCGAAGACTGCGATAGTTGATACGCACAGATATTTTTTTTTTAGGCGAACTAAAAAAGTGGCCTTAAAACTGCACCTATCAAAAAGGGAGAAGCCGTTGGGGATGACTGCAATAACGTTTCGCTAGTTAGGGATAACTACGTACAGCTTCATCACTGCAAGGTAGACCGTACTCGATCAAATTTTTGTTGCAAACACACAATGAACGACAATGCGGTCATAAGCTGCCACTTGTGTTTGAGGAAATAACACGAAACAATAACAGTATTGGCATGAAAATTCCTCAAACTTCCTCTCAGAAATATGCTGGAAACACCTCTAAAACACTTCACTGGTCTCTTCAAAGAAAACTGATATGCTTACAACACCGACAAGGCGTTTTTCGAAAGCTCGTGCAACAGTGTTTTCTTGTACGCTTTGGCATTTGTCGTGTCTAAGGTGCCATTAATAAACAAAGTAGAGTGCACAGTGAACCTCTCACATGGCTATTGGGAAGAACAATAGTAATTTTTTACCAAAACCAGCGGCACGTTTCTTTCTTTTCATGTTCATAGCCGCACATTGCACAGCTTTATACAGGTGTTAAATCATAGAAGCAAAACAGCCCAAGAAAGAAGAATGCTGAACCACAACAACAAAAAAAACAGGTAAAGAGCATAGAAATCCTGCAACATTAGTATCGTGCGTGACTTTTTTATCCACTTAGGAATCTATTCTGTTAATAAGTGCTCCAGTGATCAACACCTATAATTATGTAATCCCGGCTGAAAAAAAAAAAACAGAATATTATTTCACAATGTGTACCTTCATCGCTTACGACAAAAATTAAGTAAATTTGAAAACATAAACTGTTTACCAAAACGGGGCCAATGTGCTTGAAGTAGCTGAGGTACCAAAAAAAAAACAGATTAGCGTAAAGAATGTACTGCACTAGTGAATGCATACGTTAAAACTTGAAAAAAAATATTATGCAAAATTAGAACAGCGTATCATGCTTTCCTTTAAAAGCACTAAGTCAAACATTGCCGTAACAGCTCACTTACAACAGTGTAAAATTTCTAAATTAAAAAAAAATATCAGAGCGCTCTGAGCAGCTCTAAGAGCTACCATTTTTATAAGCACAATTTCTCGCCATGTGTAGGTTGCCAGGCACCCTTACCACAAACAAATGGTCCTTTTTTGTGAATAGTTTTATCACGAAATACAATACTACAATGTAGACTTCTTAATAAGTTAAACCTAGTCACTCTTAAAAAACGGCAGGCTTCAGTCACAGCGAAAGCTAGAAGAGCAGCCTTTCAGAGCCTTTTCTAAACAATCATTGGGTAACGACTGCAAGCACACTTACTTGATACCCATTAGGTAATTATTATTAAACTTATTTGGGTAGTAGGCAGGCATTCCCTATGCTACTTTTCGTCATTCTTCTGAGAAGCGTGGTATCCGCTAAACACTTGCAAAGAATTTTGTGCTAATTGTTCAAGCAGTGGCTGATGACGATGACGAATTGTGGCTGAAGTGGGTATGCGCCACAGTTAACAGGGAAACAAGGACAAGCTTTTGTGATGGGTAGGAGCATTGGACGACCCACTTGTTATGCTATTCGCATTGTGTGATGACTGGTTGTTCTTTTGCTGTTTTAAAACGGCCTGTATGTCGTATTATCACGATTGCTTTCCGCCATTAAGCCTACCTAAGGCAAGTTTGACAACAAGTCACAAACACCGGTGTAGCTCAGTGGTAGAATACTGGGCTCGCACCTAGCGAACCCGGGTTAGAGCCCCACTGTGTCATAGGTGCTAGGTCAAGCCTGCCTAAGGCAAGTTTGACAACAAGTTACAAGCACCGGCATAACTTAGCTAAGGCTAACTTAGCCCCACTGTTTCATTGGTGAAGTTTTTCTTTTCTAATTGGCATGCAGCCGAACTGGGTTTAAGCACCACTGTTTCACTGGTGAAGTTTTTTTTTCTAATATCGAAGGCTAACTTAGCCCCACTGTTTCATTGGTGAAGTTTTCCTTTTCTAATTGGCATGCAGCCGAACTGGGTTTAAGCACCACTGTTTCATTGGTGAAGTTTTTTTTTCTAATATCGAACGATGTGGTTACAGACACCGGTGGCGGTGGTGGCGGCGGACAACTACGCATGACCCGAGCTGTGATCTCATGGCAGCTTCTGCTGTGAAACGTGAGCTAGAGGTGAATAATTTCGGTCAAATTCGCATGTTTCATCCCTGTCACCGAAATAGTGGTTGTATTGTAGAAATGAACCAAATCTTCAATCACTTGAATATAATTTAAAACAAGGTACACTTACACATAGCACTGTTCTTAACCAATCAATTTTTGCTAGTGTTTTCGTTGTATTGCATGCCTAGAACGTGTTCATTAGGATCAGCCTCTATTTTTATTTTCCTGATATGGACGATTTCGCCAAGTTTCAGATATGTACTTCGAAGCCCGCAAGTTCATGTTTCATAGAGCATACCGGTAATAATTATGTAAACTACAATGTGACACATATTCATGCAATGTGCACTGCACTCGACTGCACATCAGGAAGCTATGAGCTACAAGCTTTATAAACTCTTTTTTTAACTTTCTTTTAGTGGGCCACAATGCTACATACTTTGAAGACTGGTTCAACAGCAACAACTGTGTATAATGATTTGTTCTAAACAGTCTTTTGTTAGGGTCGATGCATAAGCAATCGACTTAACACCACGAATAGCTGATTCACACTGGTGCAGTTGTAGTGCCTCGAACACAACACCAGGTTATATGGGTTTTTAAACAGCGTTGTTAATAAGCAACAATTTCAATCAAGTGTTACACTTCTTGAGTAAAAATAAAATATGATACTTCTGGCTATCCTATATCGCATGCCAGCAACACTGTTTTACTTTCAAACTGAAACAATGCAACTGTCGCAAACATCGGAGGAAACCTAGAAATACAGACAAACTTTCTTGTGTTATGTTTTAGCAAGAAAAACTATCGCGGAGCAACTCCTCTGAACACACGCACAAGGATTACTGCATTTATGGGCCAATGTTAACAATGCATGCTTTGGTTGAACGCTTCGAGCTGGAAGTTCGCCTCTGTATAAATTACTCAACGCTGGAACAGCATTCCGTAACGTGTTGACTGCACGGACATCGTTTGGATACTTACGGAGTCTTTCATAACTTTCAGTAGTGCAGCTCTCAACCGTATTGCAGATGCTTTCAACATTTTGATTTCAGCTCTGCAAGTAGAAGTGCTTTGTCTTCTGTAGTTGTAGTTGGTGTCTTAAAGGATAGTGACAACAACTGTGGGTTATTACGAATTACACAAAGAAAATAATAAACCTCCGCAAAGGTCTTGGTGTCACTCGCCCTACACTATAGCGGTGTTACACAGAGATCGACGTATCTAAATCTAGGACAGCAGAATACACGTGATGTGTTCAGCAAAGCCCACAAGCTTTCCCAAGGCATGACGGGCTGCCTTTCTCAAGGCAGCCTTTTTTCCGAAAGCAATGGGGAGTGCATAGATGGGAAGAATCCAGGGAAATCTCCGCAAATCTTACCCTGTCAGTCAATTAAAGTTAACTACTCAAAGAACTTATTGAAAATTTAGAGGCATGAGAAGTAATTTTGTTATTAAACGCACATGATCCCTAATTGCACATTGTAGTGGTAGACTTTGCAATAGACTATAGGTAGTGTTACGCTAAATGGTGCTAATTACACATTCAACAAACTCAGTTAGGCCGAATCTCTGCATGACTGTAAAATGTTCTTGCTTAGGCAAGAAAGCCATCTTTGCAAAGAATAGGGTGCGGTTTAAATTCACAGTTCGTGTTTATTTTTGCCCATTCAAGTTGACAAAAAGTGCTGTGCTGCTTGGACACAACAGCTTAAGTTAAGCACTCTGTACAATTATAAAATGCAATTGGAAAAGAAAGAAAATTAACTGAATTGGCATATAATATGCTTGTTTTTTCAGTAATCAATGTAAAGGTGCAAAATGTCATAAACATCTCCACGTTTTTGAAATGCCACTGAATTTCGGTCACCTTATTATCAAGTAAATGGACAAATCAGGAAACAAATATCCACTATAACGTCCCAGATAGGGCTTTTACTCTAATAGAAACGTAAGGGTCAGTGCGACTAAGAACGTCCCGCCTAAAATGTCATCTGTTAGTTTGAACATCTTGGAACATCCTTGGGTAGGTAAATGAAGCCTGACATGACGGCTGTAACTGAGGATATAATTCACATAAATACAATCTCGTTACTGAGCAATATAAACTCCCTTGAGCGTGAACTTTGCAGAGATCTCCCTCAAGCAGTGTTTTTATAAAGAAACACCATCCCCATTAAGTAAAAGAAAAATAAAGCTACTGATTACTCACTGGACATGTACCCTTTCCCCGAAATACAAGCTTCACCAGGTAGCACGTCGCCGGAGCATAGCGCTCTGTGACATGCAGTTTGTGTACAAGTTGAGTGCTCTGACGACGATCTCAGTGAAACACGACACACTATACCTAAAATTCAAACGGGCGGCTCGCATAGAGTGCCACTGATGCATGTCTTGATATTGTTTGCCTAAAACAGGCTTTTAGCATTCGAACTTTATGCAATGCTATGAAGAAGCACTGCGGTAGCGCTTTACCGTCAGCCGAAAAATCTCATTCTAGACGCCGCTGGGAAAGCTTTCATAAGTTGGAAATTCTCGATCAGCTTGCAAACATACCTGGCCATTATAAACATTGTCAACTTTTGTTATGTTCCAAGACAATTCCTTTCCGGGAACCGAAATTCATGCAGTTATAAGTCGGTTATGTCAGCAGATATCTCCAATGCGTCATTTCCAGTTATTATTATTAGGCTCCAAAGTGTTCATGAATTTTACATTTTTGCAGTTGTCACCTCCATTCTACTTTCGGACTTGTTAGAACAATTTTAGATAATCTGTGTTACTGTTATTTCAAATAAATATTATTTCGTCACATCATTCTTACATTGGTTGCGGGCAAAGACCATGTCCTGACAGTCCTTGGCCCGACACCAAACTTGGTTCATCAAAAAGCAAGACAGGCATCATTGACACTGCATGCCAAAACTTGTGAACAGGAAACTCGGCGTTTCTTCTTTATATTGCCTGAACGGTGACCTGATTACTGAGTAATTTTCACTATTCAAGCATACAAACGACTCGCCCTTCTGACTGTTTCGTTAGAAAAGAAAGAAGACCTACGCAGATCAATGCAGACTGATGACCAAGTAGCATTTTTGGATGCTCAATCTTGGCTATATCACAACATGTATCTTTCAATTACTTAAAGTTTGTCAACATAGCTAAGATACAAGTACGTAACTCAAGTGCTAAGGCGTCTCGCGGGAATAGGGTACATTGTTCCCAGTCTGAACAATTTTTTAATTGAAATGCTTTTCAGCATATCATTCTGCTTTTTTTTTTTTTCAGCTAGCACAGTCTTTCGACAAGTGGAGGCTAACTCTTTAGCTATTGTGCTGTTCTAATAGCATTCAAACCACACATTTCATCGCTGCAAAAGCACGAAAAGTTATACACGCACTATTTTTGCAAATCAAAAGTAACCATCTCTGCAGTAATCATGGCATAAATTATTTAAAGCCGTTTCTACTTCTAGCTCTAATAGAAGTACGTTTGGCGCTACCTCTGCCAACCATGGACATTATTTGTTATTTTAGACGGTTTCAAAATTGCAAGCGTAGTGCACAAAAAAAACATTTCATTTACCAACTCGTAACGTGGAAACTGAAAAGTCGTTTTCACGTTTTTTAAATAGTAAGGAAAGTCTTTCATCAGTTTTTCAGATTGAAAATAATGTGTGTAATGTTCAAGGCGATCTCTTGTAGCTTTTGTGTAGCTCAAAAGAACATTTATTTGAATATATTTTGCCAAATGACGAAAGGAAAGTGTAGAAAATCAGCGGGCTATTTTCTAACGCACTTCTTGCCCACGTATACTATTCCGGCACATCGGCAGATGAAACAAGAGTCTGTGTTTGTAAACAGTTAAAGGGTCTATATTCGGTAACTATGGTAACCAGCAAAACTAATCAATCTGGTGGGCTTTCCAAATGCAACAAACTTGCTAACTAATCAGTGATAGTGAAAAATCTTCAACACACAATAATTATTACAATCAACTCAACTCTACATCTTGAGCATTGTTTGATTTTTGTCATCTCTAACCTCGTTAAGAGCCATGGAAGTATTATTACAAGTTCATTCAAGTACCCCGGCTCGGCCAAAGCTTTTGGAAAGTGGAACATACGTTATTTTGCATATTAAACTTAAAAATTGGCTGGAAAAAAAAAAAAAGCTGAAAAATTACACCAATGGGCACTGCATTTTTTGATGGACGAACTTTAGAAATGCTGAGTTTCCTTAATCCACCTCTCCTGGCTTAAGGCGGTGCGCTGCTGCCGTAAAAGCAGCAAACCCTGTGTCCACATGTTATATTCACATTATGATTTTAACCTCATACATTTTAGTTTATGAATCGCAATTAATGCATGCTACTAGCCTGTTTATGAGTTGGGTACTCTTATTTTACTTCCAAAGAAACTTTAGGCAGCCATACCTTAACTCTTTTGCGCCAGTTCATTGTAAATCTTTGAGGCGCCAAATAACGGTTATTATCAGTCAGCTTAAAAGGCTCTTCTGTAGTGCTTCACGTGGGCTTATGTAAGTTAAAAATAAGTCCTGTAGCAAATCATCTTTACTGCAATTCATATGATGGGAAAGTATTTACTCATGAAAAAGGTAGTGTTATTCACAACCTTCCAGAATTAGCGTGGACACAAACAAGTGTTCTCTCGGCTAATAAACTTCTTTTCTCAGAAATCAGTCAGCATTTCCTTATGGTTTCATGCCTAAAGCAGGTGAATGACAATTTCATCCTGCGTTAATTTGGGTTGGACGAGCTACATGAAGTTTTATTACGAAGCACGCCATGACAGAGCAGTACTTGCTTATTCTTCTTAGTTTTTTTTACATGCGCAGTTCACCAGCAGCACTGCATTCTACACTCAACACCATATTAGGTGATTGCACAAATTTAAAACAGGAGGTTAGGTATATTTAGTTGACACAATGGGGGTTACATCACAGATTCGAGATTCATTACTTGGGAAATCACTGTTCATCGAACAGGGTATTCAGCAAGATGGGCTGGGGCGTCGTCTTATTTCACTTATCTGAAAAATTAATATTTTACATACACTGAGAATGGCTAGTTGCCACCCCATTTATGACAGCAGTGCACCGCCAAGCCGCCATGAACATGTTTATGCGTCTGGCTGAAGATGTCGCGAGGACGGGTCTGTGTACAACTTGGGAATGGACACTTAGATAACTCCCCTACGTGGGACGCGGCGTACAAAGCGCAGAAAAATGACGCGAGTGACAGAGACACACGGCTACCCACCCTATGCACAAAAACAAAAAAAAGTATTCGAATCGCGTGGTGTTGGAGGGAGCTTAGCTATGGTAACAACAGTATGGCTGACCGCATCCCTCCACTCTAAACCCGCGTGGCCTGTAGAGTGCCGTGACATAAGAAAACTTCTTGTGGAATGGCACCATAAGAAATATGGTGGTTATAGATTGTCCGCCAGGGCTTCGTGATAAGTCTTCTGCCTTTTGACATCACTCCCCGCTGCCCCTCAAGCGACTTCTGGGCTACACCTCACTTCTGTTATGCAACTTCTGGTTTGTCACATAACTTCCGGGTACGCATCTTCCATAACCCTCCCCCTTTCCTTTTTCGGTCCTAAGCGCCTGCCAGTAACAACTTCAGAGTATCTCCCCTGAAAACAGGAGATACTGCGACAACTTAAAACTGATGTATTTCGGAACATGACATGCGGTTGTACTAACCTCACATGAAGCTCTGTTCTGTCTACATTGTGTGAACATGCCTTTGTGGTGTTACAACAGATTTCTAGCGTTAATCCAAAGATACTTCTGTAGTGATAGCCCGGTGCCTGCTATCACAACTTTTTTCTGCAGTCCGACGAACATGCGCTCCAAGACTTCACCTCTCTTTTGTAATGACACGCATTCTACAGAACATCTGTTGCTTGTATTTCTACAGTGCAAAATGTCTTCCGCAGGCAAGAGAAATAACTCGCTGCCTTAGTACATCAGCGATTGGATGCACATACAGGATCATAACAGCGATTTCTTTTGTGCTGATGGCAAATTCTGTTTTCATCTTCCAGGAGGTATAGATAGCTTACTTCGATTTCTTGCTATTTTACTTTGGGTCTGCAGTTACACAGATGCATGAGCATAACTAAACCAGGCTTCTGGACCACATGAACTGATTTTGGTAACAACTTATCGTTATTGTCATACGCTGTTACAAATACAGATAAAAGGAGCCCAAGTTAACACCACCTTCAACTATGCCATTCTCATCACAGCACAGTGGTGATAATACAACCTTTTCATCTCAGTGACACAAATCTGTAGCAGTGTTACCAAACGCAATTGATGTCTAGGTCGTGTAAGCACTCTGGCCCAGCGATATGTTTGGCTAGGCTAAAGTGTATCTTAATATGGCTTATTGCCATTGTTATCAATAATAATAGTAATAAATGCAAATACAAGATGAGTGACAAGGGATTAAAGATACAAGTGAGTGTTGCGTCTTTGCATCACTTGTCCCCTGTCTTGATTTTTTTGCTTAGTGTCACTGCGTAAAAAGAAGTTCTGAATATTTCTAGACCATAACCATGAGCACAGGATTAGCTACTTTGAGTAAAGTAGATTCAGAACTTGGGTTCCCCATTTTTTTTTTTTTTTTGAAACGACTGTCCCAGTTATTTTATTACGCTCCGAATATTGTGTAATGCCAAATACAGTAGACTCGCGATAATTCAAACTCTGATAATACATACTTTCGGTTAATTCACACGAAATTCAATTTTTTGGTTGGCCCTCCATTCTTTCAATGTATTTAAAAGCCTCATAATTCAAACTCCTTCATTCGGTTAAATGATACATTTTGCCGGTCTGTGCCAGAAATTATCTCCTGCTTTCCCACTACTATTTCAATAATTGTGAGCTTATGTAACCTTAGCTGTCTTAAAATAAAACATAAGCCCCTGAGGCCTTCAAAGAAAAAGGCTGTGCAAGTAAACAAATGTTTGAAACGAAGCACACGCATGGTAAACTGTGATGCTTCTCGACTGCTATAGAGAGCTTTGTGCTGAAGGCACATATAGCAATGAAGCAGTTGTAAATTCAAGATTGCTTTAAAAAGTCTGATAAGAAGTAAATGGCCAATAAACTTGTGGACTTTACACCTCGGCTTTCTGTTCGCTGCATGCAGTTAAGACTTAAATACACTTGAAAAATTTTTGATTGTGATAAAATCAATGCCTAATCATAGCATGTGGTGTCACTTCACCCAGAGTAATCTATCTGAGAACTTCTGATAATTCAAACTTCTTGATAATTCAAACAAAATTCAGATGTTCCTCTGAGTTTGAATTAACGAGATTCAATTTTATATTCTGCTAATCAGCACTTTCACATTTTCATGAAGTTGTTCTGATGTTTGTTTACACTAACATATGGCTCCTTGTGATAAGGTATAAAGAGTACATGGAATCGATCTTTCAATGCACATCTGCTGCAAGTTTTAATGTTTTTTTTTTTACTTACCCACACACGTCTCGTTTTCAATATTTCACGGAACATCAAAGATTTATGGCTTCCAACATACCAATTTTAGATCTGTGCCAAAAAAAAGGGCTGAATACAAATACTATTAGCAAGACAGTTCTCCCTGGCCCAATGTTTTCTTATGATATGTTTGGTTCAGTATTCAGTTTTCTAAAGCAATGCCAATTTTATTGTTCTGGTCGCTTTGAATTATCAATCACATGCTTTACCAATAATAGATAAAAGCAGTGAGGTTTCGACTTTTTTCTGAGAAGCTCAGCAGAATCCACGTCTATGAAACCTATTCATATAGCATATTATTGAAATTTATGTAGTTTTTAACTTCCAACAATGCAGGCGATCAAGAAGCAGGAGCACACAGTGATTACATAAAAATTTTCACTTCAGAAAACAGTACTTAACCCCGTTTGGAATATCTTCACAGATGCGGGCACGTTTTCTAAAATACAAGGTATAGATTTTATCTAAATTTTCTTCGATATGTTCAAGCTTGTTCAATCCTATGCGTGTCAATGATACCACCTAGTGTCGAAAGAGTTTGGTGTTCATCGATATGTACGGGAGCAGTCGTGATTTGGTAAGTATCTAATGTAGACAGGAAATGGAGACACTACCTGCAATCATGATTTTGAAATTCGCATTGCTTTCAAGGTGCTCCATACGATATGTTGGGAAGCAGTTAATGTCCTATAATATGCTTGCAGTGTCACCCGTTCACTCACTGGGGTCGTCCCATCATTAGTTGTGGCCGGTTGCAAAAACATGGCGCGAGCTACTGCCCTATCACCGTGACGTAGTCTACTGTCGTGGGGGGTAGTGTGTCCATGCACGCATCGGTGTTTCAAGCGAAAACCACAATCATCGCCAACTACCGTATCCAGTGGAACTGAGGGGAAGGTGAAAAATTTCTGTCAAACACTACGACCAGCACTGACAACACGTTTTGTGACGAACACCGAAGGCATCCTCCTAGATGAGGTGCTGTCGAAATGTACATTGCAGCTGCCGAAGCATTAACGCAGCTGTGTCACTGCAACCCGCAGAAGTGCTAGGAGCACTTCATTTGTAAACAGGGGCCCGCCGAACTAAACCCCATAAACTAATAACACTCGCATCAGTTTAATACCTCTTAAAGTGTCAGTGATGAATATTATGCAATAAAAGGTTGCCCTATGTTAAGTACAATTGGTGTAGCTCATACCAGTCACCTACAATTGCGGTATGAGAGCGGAAGAGAAAAGGCGGCCCTTGTATATTAAGTGGACACAATGGTTCAGCATCAACAACTTTTCGCTTGCACTTCACTATGTACAGGAGAGATCAGGCAGACGCTGTATTTACAAAGAGCAAATTAATATCCCTGCTCGACATGCCGAATGGCAGCCGCACGCAAGTCGAGCGTTGCGACGGAGTCAAGGGATGTGATCAACCTACGACAACAGTGACCACAGTTTTGTGAAACTTGAGCCCCTCGGGTAAGCAAAAAGGTAACCATCAGTTACGGAGCCCAGCGCGAGTTAAACTGTCACAGATACAGTTCTAAAGCTATCATCAAAAAAAGATTAAACAGGGTCTTTTTACCTCGCATTTCTAAGCTAGTGTGTTGGGAATAATGATCTTAAGCATGTACATAGAGGCTGAATTGCATCTCTGCAGCATGAACACCTCGAAATAGGGTTCAAATGGGTAATATGGGCTCTCACTGGATCATTTTTCTAGCCTACTGAATCATACAAAGTGGACCATGTTTCTTGGCTGAGTAGTAGTGGCGTCAAAAGCACAACTATTCTAAACTCTCGGAAAGGGGCTCCCATGCGGTGCCATAATTACATGTTTGTAGAATACATCTATCAATATACAACAATCTCATTGGCTCCCTGTTCTTTCTCAAGCAATCTTAGAAGAAGAATTGATATGGACTTAAACCTTCACGAAAACAATCAAGTTCAATGTAACGCCACGTGTCTCATTGTTAATTGTGCAAATATAAACTAACTGAAGAGTAAGTCATCTCTGTAGGTCACAAGATTGTAAAAAAGTCGTTATATCACTCATAATAAAAAAGCAACATGTCGATAAGCACATAAACATTGGCACAGTGTGCTTTTCGTGCGACAGTGTGCACACCACTTCAAGAGGCATGCCAAGGTTGTTAAAATATCCCGAATTTATCATTTAGCTAAGACGACACCTTAACGACTTTCTACATAGTTGTACTGAAACTCATGAAGCTCTTGTGACCTATTTCATCTTGTATTTCATCCCCACAGCATCTTTAACTAGGCGACGTTCTTTTTTTGGCAAAGCAGTTTTCCCGGACTGGTCAACTTCACTACATTTCTTTCTCTACCATTCTCTCTTTGAGGCTCTTTTTTACCTTTTATCCTTTTTTGTTGATGTTATGAAGCATACTAGCTCTAAAGGTGAGTATATGTAGTATGATGAAGCCACTTGCATATATTCAACTGCAAATTTAAGAAGTCGCAGTAATGACGACACAACTTTGATTTTTTTTGCTTCATCGCCTTTACATATCTCTAATACTTTTACAGCAACCTCTCTTCCACACTTTCAGGCTACACATTTAAAGTTATAAGCATTCAATAACTATCATTAATGGTGCTTGGTGTGATTTGAACGGTAACTTCCGAAAATGTCATTAATGCTTCCGTTTGCTTGTGTTTTCACACATTATGTTGCACTCAAATCAGCATGTAACACTGGACAGCAAATGTCATTGCGACCTTCACACGGTTAGCTTCATGATATGCATGTGTCAGATCAAGCAATATTATCAAACTAATCTCCAGTTCATCACTAGAATAATGATGCTTGTACATCAACAAAGATAAAATTGATATAGTATATGGGAGAAGTGAGGATATGTGAATTCGCAGATTGTAAACAAATACAAATTGATACGAAGAGCATCCTTGCGAAAACCATTAATTTACGACTGTGTAGCATATGTGGTTTAGCAAATGGATGACTTGAACAAACTCCTTCAACTGAATGAGTTTAGGAGGAATAAACACCCACGAAGGGAAGGAAATAGATGCACTTGATACATCACAATTGTTAAGTGCTGCAAGCTGAGATAAATTGTATTGAAAAATGCATGTCATGTTCATAAGGACGACATACCTTAGTCACGTCATTTTTAGGCCAATATTATTTTTAGCACAATGCTGACTCTGTCAATTCAACAGTTTATTCTCATGAGATGCCCTGCTTACCTTTCCATGACTAGAATTTTCCAAATTTTTCATATACACAGTAGTTAAGCCACAAAATTCAGGGATATTAAAAAACGCATTTATATATGAAACGAATAATGGTGACTCATTATAAAACTGTTCATTACAAACACATATTGTAACAAGGCTCATGACTTGTTACAATAGTCAGTCAAACTGTAAAACTTTGATAACTTTAAGAGATTGCATTTCGATTGTATTATGCCGCAAATTTTTTGAGAAAACTAAGGGATCACATTTACATCAACACAATTGGTTCCGTGTGGTTCACTAGATCTTAAGAAGTGACGTCATGAAAGCATTGAAAGGACGACTAGAAAAGAACAATAATAAAAGTATAGCAGTCTTCAAACTACCGGAACAGCATAGCTGCTGATGAAGCGAAGCGTATGTTAGCGCCCTGTTTCGCTGTTGGCGACTCCTGTACACACACATCAATTTAAGTCGCTGATATCACGCTATTTACAAAGTAGCAGTCGTTCAACTGCAACAGGGCTCAAAAGAAGTTACTCGATTGCCACATGCAGCTCAAAAGTTGGAAGATGATTACTCTAAAAAAATAATTACCATTGGCCAAAAAGCGCCCATAGAAAGCAGACGAAAAGTGTCATTAAAGAGGGCTATGAGCCAACTCACACGTTCAAGTTGGCTCAAAAGCACCGGGCCTTTGATTCAATCGTCATTTGTGGTCCGACAAGTACGTACAGTGGAGTAAAGGCATTCCAAATGCTTACGTACTTTCACGATGTAATATTAACCTAAACACATAGCGAATGCTGCAACAGTAAAACTCATTATATTCTCTGCTTCATCCGAACTAGCAGTCACCCCAAATGAGTAATTTTGTAGTTGTAGCAAGTCAAAACAGACGATCGTCTATGCAGCAGCGCAGGCGAGAAAGGCCTAAGCTCTTGGCCTGGCTTGAGCCCCAACGATAGAGCCAATTCCAAGTTCAACGCGCAGCTAAAGCTAGCCCTAACAGGAGGCTTCGCATTAAGTCTAGTTGCTGACATAATTCCTCAAAATAACTATACGATTAACAAAGGGCCTACAGTTGAATAGCTATCAGACTTAACGTTAGGCTTAGCATTCCGCAAAGGAGGTACCATACCTTCCTTGGCTAAAGCAGAGCTTAAACAAAATATCTGATGATAGGCCTAATTCAGTACAAATGTGCAAAAAATAGGAAGAAACACGGACCGCAGAAGACACACCAAGCGTATCTTGTGTTCTGCCGGGTGTGTTGTATTCTCTGCAAAACATAACTTTTTTTTGTAGTGCAATCACACTGAATGGTTGGATTTCCAACTTGTCTAAGATGTAGCTCTCGCTAGGCTTAACGCTAAACCTAACGTTAGGCCTACAAAGGCATCCCCAGGGTAGACGATCTCAAAAACGCTTGAACTCCCCTGCTTTCAGACTTTTCTCGCAACTCAGCACATTTCGGTCGTTCGGACAAAGTCACCCCAGTCGCATGAATGGCACGCAGCCCGACGAGTCGTGAGCGGACACAGTGAAAGGCGGCGGGGCGAGGCAAGAGAGGAGGTGATGGCACTTGGTGCGGCGGCGAGGAGTGCTGGTTTGGCGAGAGGGGGCGCCGAGCGTGTGGCGTCGCTGGAGCCCCACTCAGGACTTCTTCTTCTTCTGCTGCCTCACGAATTCCAGGGCATCCTTGTCCCACGCCCGGCTCTCCAGTGCACACATAATCTCGTCTGTGACGAGATGAAGCGACCACGCATTAGTATACATAGTTACTCATCTCTACTTCCACCACAAAACATATATTTTCATTTAGAACAAAAGAAGCTTTTGAAAACTTAGGACAATGTACAAGGTCAATTTGTAGACTGGAACTCGTGTGGATTTTTCATTACATTTCGAAACGCGAACAGTGTTTAGTTCACGTCTTCTTTATAATTTTTTTTCACCTTATTTTTTTCTTTGTACATACATCTTTTGTCCAGGCTTCGTATTTCACGATGTTCAGCTTAACTTTAGCACGTTGTTATTCTTGTATCAATGCCTGACCACACAGACGCGTTGTAGCGCGTCAGCACCTGGGTTTTTGACGAAGCGCTGCGCCTCTCCGGAAAGAAAGGGCGCGCAGTTTCACATAACCACGCACCTTCTCCCTCCACAGGGAGAAGGCGCGGTGATGCGTCGGAAAGCCAAGCGCTGACGTGCTGCAACTAATGCGTTAGTCAGGCCTTTAGAGTTCGATATCACTGCGCAACTATCGAAAACACAAACTCCTGTTACAATGGAGCTGTTAAACTCTCCTTGGTTGGAAAATTTTGGAGCACAAATCAAAAATGGTCAGAAAGATACAAGAGAGGTAAATAATAAAAATCCTTGGTGCGAGTGAGAATAGCAGCTAGGCTTTTTTCGTGGCAAGCAGGTGTGCGGGCACTGACCCACACCACTGCTTGAACCTTTTCCGGAAATAAACGCAATATGATTATCATGTAGATAGAGGAGTCTCCTTAACGCATGAAATATTGTTTGGTGGAAGCGTTGAATTTCACCATGTGTCAAAACACGTGAATTGCGAAACGAACAGGGCGCTTTAAAGGCCCACCCATTACAAAGCACTCCGATGCATTTAATCATCAGCAGCAACAAAAGAATCAACAAAGTGAGCATAAGTTCACGTGCTGTGTTACAGACTGGGCCCTTTGTTGATTCACAAAATAAAGCATTGTGATGTTAAGATTGAGGAATTCACTGATAACCGATGCCAGATTACCATGTACGTGATGAGGCGATATGCTCGGGACCCATTTATGCTATCACGCTCTGCAGTTGGAGTTCAATATTCAAGGCAAAGTGGACAAGAGACAAGCAAGAAAACAGAGGCATCATTCAGCCCTGCATTGCTGAAGATGGGTTGCCAGCCCCAAATCTCTTGAAGCTTCGAGATCAGGCGTACTTAAACAAGCGAAGGCAAATGACATATTGTCACGTTTCTTATTTGCAATCAGGCATATAGCACAAAGCTCGGCATTCATTTAATTGGATTGGATTGGATAAACTTTTATTTGGTCCTCCGAAACACAGATCACTGTGTTGCGGGCAGCTCCCACGTGGGGACTGAGATGCCAAGCTCCTCAGCCGCCTCGCGGGCTTGGTGGACAGCCCAGAGCTGATCTGCCAAGGACGAGCTGCGGATTGCCGCCTCCCATCTGGCAGAGGTGATGTGCGATAAATGAGCGAATTTGGTGCACTGCCAGAGCATGTGTTCTAATGAAGCTATTTCCCCACAATGTGGACAAAGATTACTTGGGTATAGGTCAGGGTACATGATGTGTAACATTTTCAAAGTAGGGTACATCCGCGTTTGCAAAAGCCTTAATGTAAGTGCTTGGGGCCGGGTTAGATTTTTGTGAGGTGGAGGGAAAATCCTTCTAGACAGGTAGAAATGTTTAGTGAGCTCGTTATATGTTGTAAGAATTTCCCGGTTATCCCCTTCACCGGTAGAACGCATCCCCGGGGAGGCGCGGTTGGAGAGTTCTCGCGCCGCCTCGTGTGCTGCTTCGTTGAGATTGGGAGGGGAATCGTTGATTTGTCCAAGGTGAGCTGGGAACCAACTCAGAAGATGATGTGTTATGTTCTTGCCTTGCAGTATTTTCAGCGTTTGTTCACAGACCGTCCCCTTGGCGAACGCCCGTAGTGCTGCCATGGAATCACTGTAGACGACTTCAATGTTATCCATCTTGAGTGCTAAGGCGAAGGCCACTTGTTCCGCAATGATTGGGTCTTTCGTCCTGACCGTCGCTGAGTTGACGACATGGCCAGCCCCATCGACTACCACTGCCACAAACGCTTTCCCATTGGCGTAGGAAGCCGCGTCAACAAATACGACCCCTCGTTCCTCGTTTGAGACTTGACGAAGGGCATTCATTTAATGAGAACCACAAAACAAGCATCAAAGCCATATGAAGACAGTAAGGCACTGTAAACAATGGCTTTCACTAATTTGCACTTCACATGCTCACTGGCACTACCAGCTGTTAGCCCATCATGAGAGAGCTTCCATTGATGTCTAACAGCCATTCCTTCTCCCACAGGTGTTTCCCGCTTTCATATATAAAATAGAAGAGGACGAAAAAAATTTTATTTTGAAAATACGGCAGCTTTAATGGTATGGATCTCGCGCCTAGGAGTCAGCCAGGAGCTCTTGGGCCCTGCCGGCGCCCTCAAAGTTCATTCAGTCCATTCTGAGACTGCCATGGATAGAGCACGAAAATTAAAGATACAAGAAGAGCCCCCTATACAGAATGCTCGACGAAATAAACCAAGGAATCAATTTGTATAGCGAAAATAGTTGCACAACCAATCAAGGTCTACGAGATTGGCCACAAAGTGGTTATCGCCATTACTCTAATGTATTTGCACATAGGATCCCCCCCCTCTCCAGCGTGTATGACACTTACTACACGCTGAACATTCACATTCGCAAGGTGGGATAGTGGCAAGTATTTAATTGTCAATGACATTTTATGCAAAAAAAAATGAACGAGTAGGGAATAAAGCATAGACAGGTGCAGTTTTTTTTTTTTTCAGAAATGTTTAAACGCCAAAAAGAACCCAAAGAACTAGTATATGGCTCTGAAAAACCCAAGTCTTAAGACCACGAATTTCGTTAGACATATAAAGTGAGATGCGTTAAAAGTTTATATTGCCATAATCGAGGCAATATAGCACCTTTCTATAAGCCCTTGGGTACCGGCCATTGATTGTATACATACCACAGTACCTTTTTACCACGCCGTAGATGACAAAACTGCAATGTGCACCAGGTTTGAAATCGGTTTTCCATCCAACTTCATAAGTTGCAATACCCTGCACTCTCTAATCCTGACGCTTGCTTTTCCCTGCATGTGTTTCTCACTTTTGCATAAAAAAAAGGACCCATCTCGCACACTCAGTTTATTCTAATATTGCCATAAATTGACCATGTAAATTAAAGATATGAGAATGTGAGCATGTGTACAATGCTTGACGGAAGAAACTAATTGTTCTCGAGAAAATAGGAACCAATAATGGTCTACAACAGAGGCCACAAAGCGATCTGCCACCACCGTTACTCTCAAGCAATAATAACACATAAACTAGTGGCCTGCATTCCACATGTATAAAAGGTAAAAATCGAACTGTGCAAGCAGCAGCGGTAATTTTCCTTCAAAGGTGATTCCTGTATTTTATGTTTCCCGAATATTTTTCTATTAATGTCTCGAACTTTTTCCTGTGGTTACTAAAGCTCTTGCTGTCACCACCGAGGCCGGTATGCATCTTCACGCAATGTTCGGCATGATACAAATCGCTGGTGAGCAGCTTAACACTCACTTTTCTCCTTTGGCTGCAGTAGTGGCAAGTCGACAGGCTGCGAAGGGGCGATGGGTACGGAGTCCTCGACACCCGCCACCGCAGCCAGCGCATAGAAGGCTTCGCCTTCGAAGTCGTTCCTGGTCATCATGTCGTGGTCCATCACCGTGAAGCTCAGTATGGCCACCGCTTGGCGGCACCTTTCCTGGCCCACAGAGCTGTAACCAAATTAAAGCGAAGAAATAAAGAAAAAGAGTTACCGTAATCTTTTTCAAAAGCCACGCGAGAAGCTCGACTGATCTTAGTGGCACAACATCTACAAAACACCACTTCGTGGTAACGTTGGTCAAAACAGTTTAGCGGTTATAAATGTGGTGAAAACTTGAGGGCTCGTTTTTTCTTAGACAGAATATTAACAAGAAGTAACAGACAATGATGAAAAGAAATTAAAGTATATGGATGTCATTATTGGTATTTTTAATGTGAATGTGAACAAAGAAAAGTGAACGAAAAATATTTTGTCGCTTGCAGGGGTCGAACCTGTGACCTACAAATAATGCATCCCACGCTCTAGCACCTCAGCTACAGGGGCTCTTGGTAGAGTAAAAGCTGCGTTATTCAATATTAATAATAATAATATTAATAATACGGGTTTTACTGTCCCTAAATTATGGCATGATTATAAGAGATGTCATCAAGGAGCTCTCCGGCAATTTCAACCACTTGAGGTTCTTTAACGTGCACTTAAATTTAATCACTCAGGCCTCAAACATTTTTGCCTACATCGAAAAGTAATTTGAAGGTCGCACACTCAGTCCATGCCCGCAACAAGTTATCTTTTCGTCCACTTTTTTTATTCACATTCACAGTCTAATTACTTCCAATAACAACCCCGATACTTTCCTTGGCATCATTGTCAGTTAGCTCTCGTTTATGGAATCTAGTGTTTCTTGAAAAACTGAATTCACACAAAATCTAGTTTCAAACAGTACAAGTATTTTTCAACACGTGCGTCCTATTGGTGAACTTGAGAATAGCTGTGGGCTTGCAAAGGATAAAAAAAAAATGTCGAGAAATTTGAGCCCTACAAATCGTTACAGCTGAATCAAAAACCTTCTGCATGCGAGTGCAGCCTACCTACACATCATCTTCATCTCTTTCTGCTACGGCCGTATTCACTGCTCAATGAACAACTATTCTTACGATTTCTAATAACCGCTTTTCTGCACAACTGGACTACACGCTATGCCATCAAATTTTCTATTTTTACTGATCCTTTTATGTTACTACCGTCCTAGAGAGTGCTTCCGTTTTTTTGCCCATATTTTGTTACTCTATACTACCAGCCACCTGATGTCACATCTCTTGTACCTGCCATCACATTTAGAGCTATTTCGACAAAGCCGCTAATGAAATTTTTTACACCATGAAATACCTGCCCGTGTATCAAGTTATATGCCAAATATGCCTACCATCGATGAACGAAGTGCTGTGTATTCGAACCCATCATAAATTAGTCTATTTTATGCATAGGCCTGCTTGTGCAAGAAAGTTGTACAGCCTTTGCAAACTACAGAGAAGCACAAAAGTCTGAGACAGATGGTTAGAAATCAAGGCTAGTGAAACAGAGAAATATGAAAGAAGATACGTAATTCGTGTGTTCTTATGTCTTGTAAGTACATTCCAGGCTTTTATAGATGTTCAACTGTCTGTAGGCACCTTGACCAAAACCACTCAATTGAACGTGCAATTGGCAACTATTCATACGCTTGGTGACGATTTTGCTAGTACACTGTCACTATCTCTGATAAAGAAAAAACTAGTGATGATGATGATACGTAGAGTTTAACGTCCCAAAACCATATGATTATGGAATACGCCGTAGTGAAGGGCTCCAGAAATTTCGACTACTTGAGGTTCTTTAACGTGCACCCAAATCTGAGCACACGAGCCTAAAGAAGGACTAGTCTTTTTCTCCATGAAACTGTATCTGCGCATATGTCAGTTTCAGTTCAATGTGTAAATATCTACGATGCGGATTCAAATAAATCTTATGTTGAAAGTTGGCACCTGTGTCCCCCCTTCATTTTGTCCTGTCTCGATCAATATGCGCTGAACCACTTCAAATTAGTACGTCTCCTTGCATGTCCATGTGGTTTTCATGTGTGTCCTTGGCATAGACAAATGTAACAGCGTGCCATGCATTATAAGAAAATATCGTGTGCTTGGGCACTAATTCTGCCACACCAATATGATCGTCACCTAGCATCCTCGTGATTACTTTCTTGAAGGTTGGCTTCTGCCAATTTTCTAAGTAGAAGGCTATAACATGCCGATAGCGTGCACTTTGATTATGACTGGGAAGTGCAAGGACCATGGCGATGCCACAAGAAAAGAATGCAAGGTTGATTAATATATTAAAAACATATGCATGATAATGTCATGTTGGAACAACTTGGAATGTCAACTTGAAAGCACATCGAAACATGCAGCACGCTGCTCATTTGCAAATGACGCACGAAAACAACACACACAGGAAGAGACGAGAACAAACTAACCATGTATATCGCTCGACACGTAACTCGCTGTTTAAACAAAAATGACGCACGAAACGTAATCACGGGTACAGATGAGTGCAAACTAACAAGTGTCTGATTTGTTATACTTCGCTGTGTACGAAAAGTGAGCTCTTTTCGCAAACGAGGCCTGTGCAGAGACCAAAGTGACCTTTGTAGGCCCGGCAACTAACGCAATCGTTCTAGTTAAAGCCGAAGGCACAAGATTCTCCACCAAAAGATGAGCGCGCACAAGCATCTAACCCTCCTCCCCCTATCCGCGTGAGAGATAAGAGCGCATCGCACATCGTGACGAGCTGGGCGCTGAGTGCGGGCGGCTTTTTTTTCTTTCTTGAGTGTTCATATAGTATATAGATACATATACATACACGGTGAATGACAACGGCGGCGGCGACGGCAAAAAACTAGCTGAAAATGTTCATTTAATTACTATCGCTATAAAAAATATGTCGCAAAAATCTCTACAAAATACTGCATTTTTTTTTTCTCAAAGTGTACTGAGCAACGGAGTAAAGAAGGAGAAACGAAGACTCACAATTCGAAGCTTTCGTCGAAGAGAGGATAGAGTGTCTTCTTTTGCACCCGGGTCCTCTGCTGGGGGCAGTCGGGAAACATGTGCCGAGGCAGGATCTCCAGAATGACGAAAGGGTCGCTGTAGCCTAGTGGTTTGAGAAAGAGAGGAGGCAAGGAACTATCGCACGACAACAGTGATATGTTGCAAACTGTACAAAACTCAAACTGTTGCAGAAATTTTGTACTGCAAATTACGCTGTGCCGGTATGCTTGAAAAACTCAGACTACTTTCAAAGTATCCTTTGATCTTTCCCATCTTCGCATAACTGCAAGCATTCCTGAAAGTGCTGGCAGACTTCAATATATTCAGTGATAGCTAATGTTATTCTCAATACACCTTTATGAATAATTTTCAACGAGAACTCATACTTGTGCAAATCTGCAGCCATCTTAGGAATGTCACTACTGCTACGAGGCATCATGTGCAAATGAAAATTAATATGACTAGGAAAGCTCGTTTGATGCTTATACTTTAGCAGCTAGTTAAGAATTTCATAGTTTATCAGCCATTACTCATAGTCACAGTTTGTGTCGGGTGATAACTGCACAGATGTACAACATAATTGAATCCTTTATATTTTCTTCTGGTTCATCATGTCGTCGACTCTCACCATGAAGCTCGCTATCATAATGCAGCAGAAAGTGGCAATTTTCATGGAACTTCATGTGTTCTGCAGCTTTACACTATATGCTACCATGCATTCCCAAGCACAATTTTATCCTGTGACCACATTCGTGCAAGCGTAGGCATATTTCACGTTTTAAATGCAATGCTTGCATGCAATCTGAAAAAAAAAATTAAGCTTTCACCCTTTGGCATTCGTTTTGACCTCAGATATAATTCGTCCCCACTCTTCTCTACGTTCTTTCTAGGATACTTCGCAATTGATACCACTGCTCAAAAAACTGCGCCCTTGATAACGATCCACAATGTAAAGAAGAGAAGTGACATAATATAAGTTTCGATTATTTGTTTACGTGAGGAAACCTCCAAAACACGCAACCCTTCCACACAGCGTGCCGCTTCAAACAAACATTTTCACTGCTCACTATCACCCAACTAATACTGACTCTGCCACATTTTCAAAAATCTCAATAGTGTCAGTGGCTAATCCACGTGAAGGAAAAAAGTGTAAATATGAGGCATCCTTTCTCTGTTAAGCATAATATGGTTCGTGACCCCGCAATATTTATGAGAACTGAGAGACATCAGTTCAGTTAGTTTTGAATAATTCACGAGAACTAGCTTAATATTCTATATTCAATGTTTTCGAAAGGCTTGTACAGGAGTACACCCCAGTGGGAACAGACCACCGTTAAATGTTTTTACAGGTGACAAACTTCCATTACCATGGTAAGCACTTTAACCCCCACCATTCTTACGAGAAACAAAAATAGGCTGTCTGCGGCTAGTTTTGCACCAGAGTAACCTGTTATTCACTATTCAGCACTATTTCTGATAGTTTGCACGCCACCTGAAAAAGTAAATGTATTCTTGTAGTGCATAAACCCCCGGAAAACACCTTTTTTTTTTAGAATTCTACAGTGCTTCAAAATAGCATTTGGCACTGCACATTACTTTATTCAAGCACATAAATGCACCCGGATTTTCTTCGTTCACGTATGGCCCACACGCACGTGCCCACTGATTTAGCGTAGCATGCCACCACAGTAGACCCTACGTCCATGATCCCAGTCACCAAGCAATATAAATGTTTCATTCCCTAGGAAGTTCTTCGGTGAGCCTCCTCAGTCAACCAGCAATGTCCCACCCAGCTGAAACGTTAGCAGGCTCTAGGGACATTCCGTCACCACCAGCTACTTTCTACAAGATATCATTCGCTTGTCCCAGGCACATAACAGCATGCAACCCAAAGAGCATGCAAACCAAAACAAAAGGAAAACTTACTCTCTTCATCACCTGAAAACAAAACAGAAAGAAAACAAAGAAAAATAAACAATGTTCTTCTCTAAATCCTTTTGCAGTTGCTTTCAAATATATTGATATATTATTATATACAAATCAATAATGCAGTTTCCCTCTTTAACTTTTTGAAGAAATTCATTTCACCGACAGTTCTGAGAAGTGATCAGCAAAATAATAAAATGAATTATGCCCGTTGAGATAAATGTTACAAAATAGTGTACCAGTTATGGTTCATAATTACAAGTATACTGATGTCTTACTGTGTGAAAACCAGTAATACATTTTTTGTTTCAGTTTTTAACAATCACTTTTCAACCTACATACAATTTCCAAAGGATATGAAAAAAAACAATGAAATGAATAATGTCCATCGATAAAAGCACAAAAATAAGTTGTGTTACTTACAAAGAGAGAAAGAATTACAGTTGGTTTATTTATGAAAACCACGATATGAATATGAAGAAAACTTAAGCGGAGGCATCCAGAAATTTCGACTATCGGATACTCTTTACAGTGCACCTAAACTCAAGTTCACTGGCCTAGTTCATTTCCGATTCCATCAAAAATGCAGCCGCCGCGGTCGTTATTCGATCCAGTGACCTTCAGAACATTAGTCTAGCAGTGCAACCACTACACCACTGCGGTGGGTTGAACAAGAATGCTATGAAATCAACGGTAACAAAGAATCTTTTAAAAATGATTTAGTAAGCAGCTTGCCTAAAGTCCCCGCACTTAATTTGTGTCCACTAAAGATAAATGTTTGAATTGCAAAAATGCGCAGTTATAATATTTAAGGAGCCTGCAGTCTTTTCCGAACAAAAGCTTACGTTGGACATAAGACACTTATGAAATGTTTTAAACAAAGCACTGCTATCGCGGTGGTGGATAGCACATCAACATCTTAATGCACCATTTGTGCAAAACAACAACTGGCACATGCGTAGCTGACATGCAGTGATCTCCAGATTTGCAGTAACCAACTGACCAAAGATCTTGCGGCATGAGCACTTTGTCAAGTACTGACGATTAGTAGGATTCTGTAGCGTGAGGGCCACAGGTGGCCTAAGAGTGAGTGGCCTAAGAGTCAATGTCAGTGCTTAATGCTTGTAATCAAGCTGGTGACTATATAGGTCTTAATGCCAAGTGCAGTATGGAATATTTATTTCGATATTTTATTCCTAGACAAATTGGAAGTTTAGCTTTATTGAACATTTCATGTCCCACAAACTTTTGCTGTTGATGATGTATGTCTTATGTAGCACGTACACAATATATGGACATCTGTCACATGTTTATGTTACTGTCTAGCTTTTTTGTCTGTCTTTCATAATTTATCCTTTTTCTTGGTTTTATCTTTGTGTTTTTGCCTTATTAGCCTCTCTTAAAAAATTTTCTCTACTTTTCTACCTTCATTTCTGAATGTCGCTCATATCGACCTATCGACCCACTTCGTTAATGGTAGTCTAACTGACGAGCATACCATGCTGTTGTTGTCATGACATATCACACATGTGCCCTACGTAAAAGCAACATGCCTTACCAGACATCACCAAATGTTCAGCATGCTATATTCAGATGTGGGGCCGTCGGCTGTTACTTTAGCCTGTCCAGGCAATGTGCTAGACTTCTGCTGACAAAATGCCAGCCTCCGGAGCTTTTTCTTTTCAAACCAGCGAGCAGTTAAAGCTAGCTGCAATTAGTTTGGCCTCTCAGAAAAATGCCAGGCATTGTCGGAAAGCACAGCACAATCACAGCGAAAGCTAGAAGAGCGGCCTTTCAAAGCGTTTTCAAAACACTCATTGGGTAACTACTGCAAGCACACTTGCTTGGTGCCCACTAGGGCATTAATAATAAACTTTTGGGTAGTAGGCCGGTATTCGCCATGCTATTTTTCGTCATTTTTCTGAGAAGCGTGGTGTCCGCTAAACACTTGCTAGGAATTTCGTGCCAATTGTTCATGCAGTGGCTGACGACGATGAGGAATTATAGCTGAAGTGGGTATGCGCCACAGTTAATAGGTGAACAAGAACCAGCTTTTGTAATTGGTTGGAGCAGTGGACGGCCCACTCGTTACGCTATTCGTATTTTGTGACGACTGGTTGTCCTTTCGCTGTTTTAAAATGCTTTATAAGTCGTATTAACGAGATTGCTTAGCCAACATCAAGCCTGCCTAAGGCAAGTTTGCCAACAAGTCACAAGCACCAGCGTAGTTCAGTGGTAGAATACTGGGCTGGCACCCAACAGACCCGGGTTTCAAGCCCCACTGTGTCTTTGGTGATAGGTTTTTTTTTTTTTTCTATTTTCACGCGATGTGGTTACGGACGCCAGCGGCGGTGGTGGACAACTGCACGTGACCCGAGTTGTGATCTCATAACAGCTTTCATTGTAAAACTATCATAATCATAAATTTGTACTGACCACAAAAATTGTGTGTATCACACTACTCACCACTGTGAATAAGGCAAGAGTGAGCCCAACAAATGGCTACAAAGCGACCGCAGCAAGCCTAAGACCCCGAGTACGTACAACGAGAGAATACTATAAGGAACGGGAAAAGCAACCGCGGCCACAAGAAGACCCCAAAGCAATGGAACGCCTCGTCACAGGCAACATGCCCATAAATCTATGAGAGGTGCGAACGCTTGATCTCAGTGCCCACTTTTGTTTCTGGAACTTGGACATCCATGCATGTCTATGAATGTCAGTGGTTTATTTCTAACCGCTCTGCACTGACAACAAAGTAGAAACGACCTAATATCATCTAGCTAAAGCCTTGAAAAACCTAGAAGCAATCTAGAAAACACCGGCATCATCCTGCTATAACCTAGAAACTACCTAGCAAAAGCAACAAGATCGGTGTACCGAATCGTCCAGTTTCGCTGTTTCAAGCCTTATGCGGATTAGTGCAAACACCGCCCAATTTTATTTTGTCCTAGATATTCCCAATCTTTAACTGGCTATGCTGAAAACAATTTTTGAAGCTCTCTTATCAAATTTACTTTGAACCTTAAATACTGCCCAACTTGTTATATGAATCTATTTTAGGCCAATTTTTAGCCTAAACCAAAAGGCGGTAGATGAAGCCGAAGTACTGCGCATGGAAGTAGAGTGTCCCTCGGTGCTCGCACCAGCAAAAAAGCAAGAACCAGTAGTGGTCGCCCCCACAGTCGTTCGCATCGCAGCTTCTACACCCCATTTTGTGCATGCACCGTGAGCACTATTTTTTATCCCTACTAATAGATGTTAGAGATTGCGATGTTACCCCGATTGTGACCCTAGCGGCCTATACGCCACGTGACGTTTTCGTAGAATCCTGAGCACCCGGTATGACAGTGGCTGCACAAAACCGAATTCAGAAGGGTGTGGTGTGCTAGCTGCGCTGCTCGCCGAAACGCTGCACAAGCTCCTCATTGGCTTGTATAGGCTGAGTTGTTTCTACTCCAAGTTTTCACTTCTCACTTATTCGTACTCCTTCTCCAAGTTCCCACTGCTGTTAAACTGCGATATCTTTCTCACTGTGTTCATTCCACAGATAAGCATGCGCAGTGTTCCCTTTCACAGGGGTAAGGTTTGTCGCAGAGCCCTCCTTTTTATAGAGCCAATTTATGGGGCAGACTTCGCACTCCCCGCCACTGCCTCTTTGGTGACTAGGAGGGTCAGCCACCATCCACTGCCACTGCCCTTCCCCCCGTTGGCATGTTAATGGTTCCATAGTGTTTTCCAGCACCAATCTTCCAGCCATAGCCAGAGCCAGGATTTTTCTACTCAGGTATGGGGCACCCACAGTAAGTTTCTTCAGTAAGAGGGCATAAAAGGCGGCAACTTTAGACGTTGTGTTCTAGGTTTGCTTTTAGGGGGGCAGGCGAAAATTTTGGGAAAGGGGGCTGCAGGTTCATCGTGCCCCTACTGACACCGCCCCTGCTTCCAGCCTTCTATTGCTGGTCTACACCACAGATTCATCTATCGTATGAAAACCCCCTTTGAAACACAATCTCTCAATGACCATGACTCACACTGATGGGGCCACACGGGGATCATATAAGGAAAGTGTGTTGAAGGCGGGTGCTAGTGCCCCATAGTTGCCAATCAACAAGGTGTCAGTGAATCGTACGGGCATTCTCTGACGTTCAATAAATGGTGCAAAAAAGGCTCTATAAACGTTTATCCCGACAGCCTTAACTTCACAGGAACGGCACTAGCGTTTGCTAGCACTCTAGAAACACCGATCGCAGAGGCGCCAGGAAATCCTGTTTCTTCGCATTTAACTTCAAGACATGGCGCAACCCCCCCTTTCACCATGAAAGCCTCAATTTCAATAGGGCGATTGTGTGTGCTCGCATCTCGCAGCCGCCAATCAAAGAGGCATCAGTATCGTGCTACCTTGTCTTGATGTGAAATAGATGGCACAATCACACCACGGAAAGCGCTTTGATGTGCGCACCTCCACACATAGAGATACCCTAGCGAAAACTTCCAAGTTTATAGGCAGGGTAGTTGTGTCCACTTGTGCCTCAATGATGCGTATCAAAGAGGCATGAGTAAATTCTCAGTGCTTGCTTTAACGTTCAAACGATGGCGCAACCACACTGGGCAAGGCCACGCAAGGCTCAGGTGGCTTAAGGGTATAACAGAAGAATGGTGGAGGCGAAGCTGGAGCGCCATTTTAATAGGGACATGGAATACTTAGCGAAAAGAAAACTTGAGAACATGTGAGCTTCCTTTGCAAAAGGGGAATGAGATAGCGTAATTGGGTGCCGTTCTCATCTCCTTCCCATTTGCCTCCCACGTTTCGTTCCGCGGTTCACATCTTGACCGTCCTGCAAGGAGCCGAATGTCTGTGCGCGTAACACTGGCGTAAAGTACAGCAGTTGCTAAGTGCCCAATATGCCATATCTAATCCTTTTGAGAATTAGGAAACTACCCACTGCATGTCTGGAAGAAAAAATATGCGCACCTACACAGCTGCATAAATTGTCGGTGCTGAGGCTGATGATGTTAACCAACTCTGCCTCAACTCTTTGCAACCAATGGACCTACTCGCTTATTGCGCTGTTCACACAGTCAGGTGCTAACCCTAAATCACGCACCACACACCGCTACATCTTGCCACTCTCCCCAGACCTGTGAGGGTGGCCGAGAGAAGGTGTTACGTGACGGCGTCATCATCACTCGATCGCGCACGACCGCCGCGATTCGTTCGCGCTCCATGGCCGAGCCGTCGGTGCCCAGCAACAGCTCTTCAACGACACCTTGGAGCCTAGGCATGTCGTCCGCTGCTGTTGTCGGGCCTGAAGCCATCCCGGACGAGCCCCCACTTGTCACGCGCTAACCTTAAATCGCGCACAACACACCGCTACGTCTTGCCACTCTTCCCAACCAGGCCAAACCCCCCTCTTCCCCACACACGCAACCCCCACAACTCCCAGTCCCAATGATGATGATGGTGCCATCATGTAGTGCGCTCTCTCGGCCAAGTCCCAATGATGATGATGACGCCGTCACGTAACGCCCTCTCTCGGCCACCCTCACAACACGGTGTGACGCCTGGTGAGATTATACCCTGCTGCCAAACAGTGCTACATGCGTTCACGTGGCTCATCTCCATACATCACGCCTCTTTTTTGTTTTGTATCTTTTTCTTTTTGCGGCTTCAAGCAGTTGTGGCAATGCGTAAGTACAGCTCATACACAACTCAAGGTACAACCAGGACCTGCAGAACCAATTTTACCACAGTGTTCACGTTTTACACAAATCGATTTTCACATAAAGGATTACTACGAACTCCAAGAGTTCTAGCTCTGCCAGTATATCCACTGTTTGAAAAATGTGCCGCACTAGCACCTTTTTAAGTAACACTCTTCCTTGACATTTCTTCCTGGTGAGTGTTGTGCATTTGTAGAAGCTGGGCTACTTGTTCTCTCAGTATTTAGGATAAGTACATTTGTAAAAATTATCATGAAAGATAGACTAAAAAAAGTGCCGGGCTCTTGTGGAACACGTGAATCTCCCGGCACTAGACCTGGCTTCCACTCCCGCTCGAATCCTTAATTTTCAATACTTTCCTCAACGGTGAGTTCTCACTTACGGCAAATACTACCGTGATGACACCAACACCGGTATTTCTGCGAAACGAGTTCTTTAAGGCTTTCGCAGTAGCCAGTAGGATGCACCTATTGTTGTTTGCCTTCAGTTATTCACATTTCTGCGTACTTGAGTCTCGTTTTTGGCAAGATGCAAACCTTCTACATTAGAAGCTTCAAGTAGTGATACTGTTAAAAAATCAGCGCAACATTATGGTAAAAGAACTGGTTTACTTTCGATGCCAAGATGCTCCCCGTTACGGTGTAGGACACTATTGAATCATACTTCAAGCATTACCGACGTCCTATATGTATAGCTCGATGCCGAACAAAGAAGTATTGCCTTCGCAGTTGTCATGCTGCACCAGCGAAATCACTTTGGTAAGGGTGCTTGGAAATAGTACAAGATAGCCACAATGACCAAAGAACAATCACAGTCAACGTTACTACTTATCATGCCCTATAACAAAATTATTTTAGGAAATGGGTTAGGAACCATGAATGCGTGCTATAAGATGCAACAATAACGTAACTGTGTTTGCGCAGCTTTGTTCTCATAGGCCAATCCTGTAAACGAATGGTTTTCTTTAACAGTGCGGTGGCCCAGCACTGTCGCCCTTGATTTTATTTGTGGTGTTTTTGTTTTTTATTGCAACAATGAGCAGTAAACATGACTGTGATTCAAGGAGCAATTAAGAAGACCTATCGATACCTGTGTGTCTATATCTGACGGTGGCGCAAAAATGTATTCGTTGGAGCACTTACCAATTTAAGCACGAGTGAGCAATCGGCCTCACATAAAAGCACCAGTTCAACCCTCCAACAAGTGATAAGCCCATTAGATGACATTCTCGGTCAAGTAAACACTTCGGCGTCAGGACAAGCTTTGTCTCACTTGAGATCACCTTAGTACACATGTTTCAGCACAAGAAACACATGTTTCGTTGGCAAAGGACATGCCACGCATGTTTTATTGCGATCGCAATTATATGGACAGTCTCAGCTGGTTTTTGCCATCGCTGCTACTGCTGCCGTCATTGACGAATATGTATATGTATATATACATACAGGGAAGGATGCGCTAGCCTCCTCTTTTTGCGGAGCAAACATCGTCTTTCTGGCCAAGGAGAGAGTTCTATGGGCTATGCTATCAACAGAAAAAATACGGCGCCAAAAGTGTACCTGGAGCAGCCGAGCACACATAGATGGACTCTACACATAACAAACTGCCACCAGCGGCGACACACAAGAAATATAGCCCTTAGTACCAGCATGCGCTGCCCACGGGAGGTACTTCTCATCAACGTCGTCACAACGCATGAGCCTTGTTGTGGTCATCTACTGTGACCGCGCCGCAGGAAACTCGATTACTTAGCAAGTGCATGTTTACTGCAGTTATATTGCTCCTAAAAACGCTAGCCTTGCTTCATAAAACATTAAAATATAATGCTATCGCACTCATTGCTTCGTCCTTTTGATGAAACTGTGACTTTTTTTCTGAATTTTTAGTAGCGCCAAGCAACGTGAACTACTAAAAACTAATTCAAAGCAAGTCGGGAAAAAATGACATGCAGCAACAACATCACACAGTGAATATCAATGCTCAACACTCTGCCTTTGATTTCCTTGAGGATTATAAACTTTCTAAATAACTGGTAAATTCACTTAACTATTCAGATTGTGGCTTCCTAATAGTAATATGTTCACTGGGAAATAAACATGAAAGCAGCGCCATAGAGCTTAATAAAAGTGATTCCCAACCAATCAGGTATGATGGTGATAAAAAATCATGGAAAACTTCAGAGCTATATTTACTAATTCTTTTCTTGTAGGAAATCTCTCCCTTCTTAATCTTAACATCTCAGACCCTTCGTATTTTTCATACTGCAGTCACATCTATGAATACGATAGTGGGCTGCATTAAATAATTATTCTGAATGTCCAAGATAAGTGCAAATAGCTTATTTTTTGTAAGAGTGTGTACATTACTATTGCCAAGAACGTGGAATGTAAGAGACCAAATAAATTAAGTTTGTAGAGACAGTCAGCTACATAAGGTGCAATTAATTTTGGCACATCCCTTTGAAATACTGTGCAAACCATTTTGGTGCACACAATACCTCACTTTGTGCATTATAAACTTAATTATCTTTGTGTAAACAAAGTAAGAAAGTCGTGTGTGCATCTCACCATTAGGATCCAGAGGCTGCAGATCCCGGGCGTTCATTACTGCAATTGATAGCACGGTAGTGTCAGATTAGCAGCTCCTGTCTCATACATGTTTATCTTCAATATGAATAAAATACTAAGTATAGATTGAAAAGTATAAAGGAAACTTGGTGCATTTCTCAAATTCTACAAAGCTGCCAGGATTTATAGAGATCTGTGTAACAACAGTTCAAAGCTGGCCGTTTTAGTACACATTCGTATTCAAGCAAACTGGGCAGCAGATGAAACACAAAGAAAGAACGAGACAGAAAAGTGCTGGCAGGAGCGTAGGCAGTAAGTCAACAAACATTATTCGTGTCCTAAAAAAATACAGGGGTGTAGGCAGACATTTTTGGGGGGGAGGGGCACCTTAAAATAGTCCTTCACCACCTTGAAACAGCAGTCATCATGACTACTGTTTCGTTGCTGTTCGCCACATAAAACGGTTGCCTTATGTCGACGGCTCAACGCGTTCTATAAATGCGAAAATTCTTTCTATGGGTAGCGGATATCTAGGCTGGATAATAATAGGACTTTCCACATTAGAAGAAAATAAGAAGGGTGTGTTAGTGAACCTTCGACAAGTCTGTTAGATAAGGAATATACATATGTGAGTACTACGTGCTGCTGTTGACTTACGTGGCTTTTCATGTGCACCTATTTGAATTTTTTTTTAATTTGGTGTTTTGTTAGTATTGCGGTATGCTGATAAACTTTGACACATTGCCCTTTGCTGGACGCTATATTTAGCAGCGATTACGTTTTCATTATATCAGTCGTAAGTCGAGTCTACGCTCATATGCATCCCTTGCATGGAGGGGAGGGGCAAAGGTTCGTCGCAACACCAGCTTTCCTATTATGTCATTGTATGGGGCTCACTTTGCACCCCCCTCTTAGATGAACAGGGGGAGGGCACCCTTCGCCCCTCCTCCAGTGTGCATGCCTATGCTCATCTGTCTTGTTTCCCTCTTTCTTTGTGTCCTGTCTGCGGTGCAGTTTTATAAAGATGCTAAAAGATCTCTCGCGTGCTTTTCAGCGCTTTGGCTCATACCTCGTCCCGACGAAGGCATTGGAGCTGCACAGGAAGAGATTGTACTGGGAAAATATTTATGACCACGGGCATCATGATTTTCAGGGCACGTGATAAAATGTGACTGTTCTCTTGCGTAGCGATTCCTGTCAAATCTGAGCGTCAGAACGTAGCGCCATCTCGTGGCAAGGTGCGCACTAGATCCAAACGCTTCTCTGCTTTTACGTCGGCTACTGGCCAATAGCATATGCTACCTGTTGTTTGATAGAAAACGTCAGGTGCGGACAGGTCTGAAGATAGCGAGCATGGGCCTGTGTATAGAAAGACGGCGCCTCAGTGAATTGCCATTTCGCACACCACTTATAAGTGCTCATTGCCGCTCATAAGGTTTGCTCGAGCTGTTCATGTGTTTTTTCACCAAGCACAGGAGGTGCATCAGGACAAGTTAAAGAAAGCTACGGCTTCTCTGAAGGTATCCTATTTGCAAAAAGTCTGTAAAAGTTCCTTTACACTACTTTAAAGTGTTTCTGAAATTTTCATATTCATTCGAGACTAGCTTTTCGAGCAGTCTAATGTTGAAAATGACTTTTGTGCGATAAGGAGCATACAAAAAACCAAGAATGTTGGATAACTTACACTAAACAGTTAACAATTTGAAAGTTTATCTTCAAAATTGGTTTTCTTCGTAGGTACAGTACAATCACTATGACATTACTGCTGTGCACCCCGTAATGGCCTTCAAATAATAATTACCTACCAGTACTGCTAATTATCTATCTGCTTGAATTCTCATATCAGAATCCTGTTATTTACGATGCTATGGATGTCTTTTCTGGTGTGCTTCCTTGTCAGTGAAGATGAACAACACGCAGATAACTTGTGCATCAACAATTCAGGTGCGGAGCTAAATTTTTGCTCATAATAAAGCATCCATACTTCTTGCACTAGTTTTAATGAGTTCGCTAGACAGTTCTTGTGTTGTACCCTGGCGATATAGTGCACTAGTTGTCTGATTAAGAGTGCACTGCTAATGCACTCAAAGCAAGAGACAACTGTAAAGCTAACTTACCATCCACACAGAGGCACTCAGCTGCGGCATTGTAGCTGAGCCGTACGGTGAGCGTTCCAAAAGGAGCAATGCCCGACTGGATCTGCCGATTCTGTTCCTCGAGCCTCTGCAGGCAGTACAGCTCGATGAGATCTGCGGTGTCGGCCTTGTGCAGTTTGAGCAGCCTGTCCAGATCTTGATACGGCAGGCTGTGTAGCGACTTAAGGGACAGGCCTTTGTCCTCGGCGTGGAAGAACTCCAGGAGCACGCCCAGAGACGAGAAGAGGCGCTGGAAGAATACCACCCGCTCCTGCGTGGTATGAACAGCGCATGTGAACAACCTATGGAGACAAGTTTTATTCACTTGGCAGCCCAAACCAAAGGGACAAGGTAACAAGATATACCAACAAATGCTTCTTTCTCCTGCGCTTATTTGTGTACTGTCCTACTTTCTCCCGTTTGTTTTTGCTGCCAAGTTGTCATATTGAATCTATACTGACTAGCACCCCAATCCACTCTTCTACAGATTTTAGTATTTCCAACATGTGAAAAGTACAGTGGTGAAGGCAACCCTGACAAGAAACTTGACAAGGTCAGCGGGCCACAAACAGATAGCAGTGGGCACCATGTTTGATGATCGCCTGTGTCCTGATTGTACCTTTCGGCTTTAGTGCTGTCGTTAGTCAAGGTCATCAAAGTTCAGATAAATTTTCCGAAAAGTCTTCTTCTACTAGGCACAACATAGCCTGCAGCTTTGCTTCAACCACCAAGGCCAACCACTCCCACCAGCGCATTCATTGAAGGAGAGTTACACGCTAAATATATTAACACCTTTATTAAAGCACTATAAATGCATCATAGCTCCATGATCAAGCGAGTTGCCTTTAAACAGCAACAAGAAGTCCTCCGTGGGAAGAAGTCTTTGATAAAAACCACTGATAATGATAGCTACAAAATATGAGAAGAGAACCTGAATAAATAGTATTCCATCCACATTTTCCCGTCATATCTTTCTGTGATATGTTTGCACAGACAGTGTTGGCCGGCGTTGGAAACTTATCAAATTGTATGGCTTTCAACAGTAAGTATTTGCAAGGTATAGCTAAATGGAGAAGTGGTGAACTCTCTTAGATGGGCATGATGTTTCTCTCAGACACTTGCTCTAAAAATATGCTCCATTTACCACGTGCGGGTAGGGCTCTGGCATCATCGGTGCTCTGTACGGAACAGGCCATTAGCGATAATTCCGTACTGACCAAGCACCCACATCATCGAGGGCGCAAGACTTGTCAACCCATACAAAAAGACCGAACTGCGAGCTCAACTTAGTTAACGTTAAAGTTCATATTCCTGAAGAAAAAAAACGTTGCCCAGTTGTTTTTCTTTCTCGCCAAACCAAGATTCTGCAACTATTATATAGTGCACTATATAAGTGCGTTATATACCTTGTATCATGTGTTTGGTACATTTCTTCCATATCTCTTCAGTCTTCTGCAATGCAACCCAATTCTTAGATGCATTAAAAATGCACGAAAAATTCACAGGGTCACTTAGTCATTCGCATAGGCGACTCGAAGGCAAAAATCATCTTTGTCCTTATCGCACTCGATGTACGTAGTCCCCCCCCCTCATCCGATTTATTTGTGCAACCAATGGGATTTTTCACTGCCTAGAGGGTCTATTCAATTGAAAAAAAAATTGAGCAATGAACAAAGATTGATGAAGATAACACACACAGCACTGCGCGATATCTGTTCACAGCTCCGTGTGTGTTATTTTTGTCAGTCTTTATTTGTTGCACTGTTCTTTTTTTAATTATGCCCTCACCGACTTTCTCAAGTTCCCACCAGGGTCAGAGAAATTTGAGAAGTTCTGCATCTCACTTAGTTTTGCAGTGCCCATGAGATCAATCCACTTTGGCCATGCAATACTTAATTATCGCAACGACGTCGCGAATTTTAGCGATTCGTGATGTCACCATGTGGTGCCATCAAAATGTGATCTCTGATAACGTGACCTTTTTGCGTCAATCTTGTTGACACCCCCGCCACTGCCAACTTTTTGTTTTATATGAGAGACGTAAGGTTTTTGCCTCAATAAATAAGATGCTTTGGTCAACAGTGTAACTGCGCAAAAAAAAACAGACACGTAAAAAAACAGGGAATCACAAGCAGGCGCGGTTTCAGCACCATGAACAAGTACCAATAGGTCCAACCTACTATTACTACTCTACTGCATTGGTTACTCCCGCGGCACCAGCTAGCACTTTCACATATAAAATGTACAATAAAAGGTCACAGGTCACAAAAAAACACCCTTGTAATAAGTGACTACTTCGAATCGTATTTCTGTCTCTCTCTCTTCGCCAGTAGTCAGGTGTTCGCTATGCTCTAGATACTTAAGGGGTCTATAAGCTCTGGACTTCTTAAGATGACAAACTATGAAAAAAAGGAAAATTTAGGTCGAGAAAGGTTTGGCCCGATCAGCTGTGCAGTAAGCAGGCCTAACCAATGTACAAGGCTGCCGAATGAGAGAAAAGAGAGCTCGTGCTCTTTCTTACCCCGAGATTGTTTCTGGCGGTAAGCATGAGTTCCTGCAGCACAACCCTCCAGACGGCTTCCAAGGTTCGATAGAAGTTGACCTTCATCAGCGACTCGTACAGCGTCCGGAGGTTGTTGTCCAGGTAGTCTATTAATGGACCCAGCGCCTGCAGTCACAGGGCAAGTCCTCAATTACAGTCTTGTGCGTAGTCACAGAGCCCTTATCAGCATTAACCTCTTTCTTCTGTAGTCTTCAAGAGCTTTCCAATCATTTTTTGCAGCTTAGCAAAAAAGTGTGGCAGGACGAATGTTATTTAGATATAAATAGACTCTGCTTGTAAGCTTAGATAAGTAAACTTCAGCGTATTCTTTTTTACTTCATGCGATAACACTAAGAGGCAGGCCGTACTAAGAGACTACAGTTTTTCTCTTGTATTGTGCTATTTTTACTTATATTGTAATTTTAACTAACAATCAATATTGTAACAATATTTTCACGGTTCGTGTGTGATTGCACTGCCGTTCTATTATGAACATAATAAATATTTCAATTTCATTGCACATCCTTCTTCTTATTCCCTTTCACCGCACACGTATACATTAGAAGCTTCTAGTTTTTCTTGCTATTTCCACTGTATGTCCTATTTTATTTCTAATGTACTTATACCCAGATTTGTCCATGAATAAATGCATGAAACGATTCACTACAAAAATTTAGGGCAACAGATGTGTTGCCATTTTTCTTCGTCGCCATAATCGAAAACTGTGGCCAGTACCCTAAACCCACGAAACCATAGACAGCATGTGAACGCGTGAGGTGCAAACGAGAAACATAAAAAAGGGTGAGTGAGAGTTTGTCGATAGCCAGTGCACCCTGCAAAATGCGTTGTACATTAAGAGTGATGCTTAAGCACTCTACTGCAAACTATACTGAAACCACTGACCACTTTGTTATGCACTGCATTTCTACATTCGCTTAAAACAGAAAACTGAGCTAGTTGCTACCTATTAATTCTAAATACGACAGGGCGTGCACACGTGGACAAAAAATGTTTTTGTTGACCTGACTTCCTTCTTTTGTCAGTGTTTGCATGGTCCATCTCTTTTAGAATGTTTATGTTTACGTTTCACCTGATCCCCTTTAAACGGGCCCTGAAACACTTTTTTGAGTAACCATAAAATGAATTCACCGGAAAAGCAGTGTTGCCTCACAAATTCAACGCCAGCAAAAATTTTAAGAATCTGTTCAGTATGGACGGAGTTACAAGGATATGTCGCACACTGCAATCGCATTGTCTCTTCTCTCGTCCCAACGAAAGCACTGCAAGCTAACCAGGGAGGGATGAGAGGGGCAAAGAAAAAATTTCACGCGTGCCTCGTGAACTTGAGCACTTCTTTCTTTCTTTTTTCATTGAATACGCTACTTTTTGAGTGCGATCGCACGCGCACACGTGGACAAATGATGGCCTTTTGCAGCGATCTCTGTAACAACAGCGCGCCATGTTCAAATCAGCCCCGCGGCGGTGGTCTAGTGGCTAAGGTACTTGGCTGCTGACTCGCACGCCACGGGATCGAATCCCGGCTGTGGCGGCTGCATTTTCTATGGAGGCGGGAATGTTGTAAGCCCGTGTGCTTAGACTTGGTGGTCAGAACATCAGGTGGTCGAAATTTCTGGTGCCCTCTACTACGGCATCTCTCATAATCATATGATGTTAAACCCCACACATCAATCGTCAATCAACCATGTTCAAATCAGCCAATGGCTGGTATATGAGTAATCTATGTGTGATTTTTGAGCGTCTTCTGTAATTTGTCGAGGGAAGAGAAAGCAATTTTCAGCTGGCTTTGATAAATTCATTCCAGGCCGCGTGCTGAGCTCTAATATTTGGCTTGCGTGTTGTCAGGAGCCTTTACTACCGATCAGCAGCGTTTTCTGACCATGCTCAAAAAGTGTTGCAGGGCCCCTTTGAAAAAGAAATGGTTATAAGTAATAGCAGCCACCTTTATTGGAAAGTGTGACTTACACTGTCAGCATCTAGACGTTCTGGTGCCCACGCCAGGTGAAACAGAAACTTCTTGATCTCGGGCCGCATCTGCAGAACGAGAAAGGTTTCAGTGCGAAAATTACGTTTTGCATACACCGAACACATCAGTCATATATTTTCTTCAAAAGAAGATGTCATGACCATTCCCGTCATGCTCTAGAAGGAGCCACAAGTGCGAAGGCGCAAGGAAGGTGTTAGCCAGGCAGTAGTTGGCCAATAGCAGCTAAAACTCGCGTGAACACCACTAACGCGAAATCTCGCCCATCTCGTGGTCGTGTATGTCACCTACGAGGTTTTGTGTGAGGGTTCGGCACATGTTTTAGATAGATTTTGTGACAAGTTGCTGCCCGGCTGATTGGCATTGTTACGCCTTGGCGATTGTGGCCTCTGCCAGAGCATAAAAAAAACTGCAGACTAGCACTGTTGGTACCATCCTGCACGTCTGATTCTTCTTTGCAAGCATCATGTTAAAGAGCTATAGCCATTAGAAGTGTGTGAACTTGAACTTGTTGGTACCCATTCATAGTGAAAAAACAGCGCGAAACACAAGGATGACATAGATGAATCAGGACGGGTTATAGTCAGCGCAAGACAAAAAGTCAGTGGAAAGAGCGTGAGACAAAAAAAGATTTGACGAATTGAGAGAATGTATAATATTGGAATTTTTTTCACATCTGTTTTGAGCAGGAATGCCACAATGTTGCAGTTTATTTTTTCGAGGGTGAACATTCTTAGCCAACTCGCAAATATCTACATCGAGGCCGCTCACTGACAGGTGCCCTATGTCATGGACGTTGAAAGAAAGTGTGCTTTGGCATTGTAGTAATTCATCTCACTCTTCAGCACATAAATGCACAAGGATGAAAAATGAACAATGCTGTGTCTCCATCATTTTTTTTTTTTTGAACTTGTCCTTTTGTGCATTAAAAGTGAGTCGTGGAGGTCCTTATCAGCTGAATAGAGAAGGTGGGGCTACGAACTTTTGACAGGGTCCGCATAATACAATCTCGCGGCTGTCATGGGGCCCACGGACCACAGGTTGTCAACCCATGACTTCGATTGTAGCTGCCATGGAAACTGCCTACAATTTCTTTAACCACGTTCTTCGTCTCTCCCTCTCTTCAACATAATCTCCAGCTGCTCATGTGGCGAATGCTGCAACGGCGTTGTGAACGTGAGCAAACGTAATGCAGCTGTGGCATCAGTGACAAACTACCGTCATTTATCAACAGTGATAGAATAAAAGCCACTTTATTTACAAAGTGGCAAGACAGAAACACCTTTGCACTTTTTTTGCATATGCAAACAGTGCACTATTATTGGTCTTTACATAGCTCTTAACCAGGGCTGCATTTCAGGCCAGCTAGAATGCTGTGCGGCTGCGTTGGCAAGAACTTTCAGTGCAAAACAGGAAGCAGTGATATCGTATGCTGCTTGCAGAGACAATAGATGTCCTGCAGACCCTTCAAACGTTAAGGGAGCGTCATCAAGTGTGAGGCTCACGGGACTGCTTCAAGCTCTCCCATAGTAGAGCACCAAGTAGTCTGAATCGTTCACCACTTCTCTAAACACAGGAACATTTTTCATTATTAGAATTGCTTTCTGCTCTCCCATTGCAGAGTACTACGTACTCTAAATCATTGAACAGCCATGGTAGCCACTATGGCTCACACACAGTAAAGTGCATATAGTGTTCTAAAGCGTTAAAAATTCAATTGAAACAAAATAACGTTGTTACGGTCATACTGTGGGCTGAAGCATTTTTCTAACAATGCTTCATGTTTGAACAAGGTGTTTCAAGAAATGTGTCCACTATTACTAAAAAATTACAGAAGGTACTAGCATCCTACCTGTGGCGTTCCTTTTACTCTGGCACTAGGCACCTTCAGATACGTACTGAACGATGATACGACAGCAATCTTAAGAATGAATACAATTAACTTTTGAGCCAGTGGCAACAAGCAGTCTAGACAAATGGGTGAATTGAAGTTCTTTAGGCGATTAGTCCTTAGCCACACTGAAATTTCTGAAAGGCCGCCACTGGTAATCCTCGTGGAGCGATGAGATCTGGCCGATTTAGCTGGTGAAATCGAAAACCGACGCACCAAACAGCACGTCTACCATTAATCCCAGAAGCACCCTCTATGATGACACTGTTTCGCTCGCATAGGAGAGGAGGATAAACAGGCGTCAGTAGGCAGTCTTATGGCAGCAAAGCGTTGCCAGGAATGAAGCATGTAGATTGATGGTTGATAACGGCGAGAGAAAAAGTGCCGTACTTGAAGTGAATGGTAGGTGCGCTGTTCGGTGCGTTGGTTTCAGTGTTTCCAGCTAAATTAGCCAGATTTTATCATTCTGCAGCGATTATTAGTGGCCATCTTTCAGAAACATAAAAGTGGCTACGGACTTTTCCCAAGAAGAACTTGAACTCGCCTATTTGACAAGACTGTTAATTTCCATTAGCTAAAAAAATAATTGCTTAAATTTCTTTATTACTTCTGTAATTCTTCTTTGTAGGCATCTTAAAGTGCCCTCTTCCACATTAAAGGCATCGCCGGAGGTAGCACGCAGATACCTTCTTTCTGTAATTGAGTATTTCGGACAAATTTCTTCAAACGTCCTGTACTATGCATAGACGTTTATGTGTGTTGCAGTCCTGTTTGTATAGACAGTGTCCAACTGCTGTGTCCTAAGACAAAATAAGCTCATTGTAAAAACAGCTTGCTGCAGATACATACATGGATACAGTTTTGATGAAAAAGATACAGTGTAGACCACTTATAACGGAGCCGCTTATAGTGCATAACCACTTATAATGCGGTCTTTTTCTACTCGCGTATACATTCTCATAGGACCCCATGTATACGCATACCGCTTATTGTTCAGTTCCACAAGATGAAAGACCGATTATAGTGCGGTTGCCGGATATACGCGGCAGCGAGTAGCGCTGGGTGCGCCGCTGGGGAGCGAACGACGAGGTTACGGAGGAGGAGAGGGACACGGAGTGAACGAACGAAGGACGGAGAGAAGAAAAAGAAGGAGGGCGGTTGCCTCGGTGACCAATAAGCCTTTGCACCGGCGCCGACGCCGCTATAGCCACTGCGCCGTGCTCCCGACCGGGTTGCAGAAACTAGGTGCCTTTTCTCATCTTCTAACCACTACTACCACCACCCGACGCTGCTACAGCGTACTACGTCGCTAGCGTGGCTTCGGCCGCGCGCCGCTCAACATGACACGTGCGATCCCGTTCTTACCAACTACATGCGCTTAACAGCTAGTTTCCTGTCGAGGTAGAAGTCGTCGTTATCGCGCATGCAACAAATATCGCATTTGCTTCCTCGTCCGTAAATTGAAAACCTTATACGATTTTATGACGCGAGCGTTCACATTTGCTGCCAGTGCGCTCTCGTACGTAAGCTTGGCGTGTTGTCGACCGTCGTTGCTGACCTCCCTGGCCGCGAATGCAAACTTCGTGTCACTCACGTGGTTCTCGGTTCACTGTTAGTGCGATCTTTTTGACGCCGAATAATCATGTTCTGGACAAGCTTTCCGCGACAACATACCAAACGGCAAGCTAGGCCTAATCGGTGTTGGATGCGCTTCGATCATCGGTAGCGGTCGCGGTTTGGTACCGAGTCTTAGACTTTCCTTTTTTTTTTTCGTAGTGCACGGCTCGAGTTTAGTAATTATCGAGTATAGGAACAATTGGTGTCAGAAAGACATGATTAAAAAGACTGTAAAGTGTTCAGGATGTGGAGTGGGTTTGAAAGTGGACTCAAGCGTAGAAGCGGATGGAGAAGAGGCTGACGCGAAGTGTAGGCAATGTGAGGTCGAGGAAAAAATGGAGAAAATGATGGTTGCCCAAAGTGAACTGCTGGTCAGAATCGATGAGCTCGAGACTGCGTTGGCGACAGAGCAAGAGAAAACGAGGGCAATGGGAGAAAGACTGAAGTCCACCAAGGAAGCACTAGCGAAGCTGAACAAAGAAGCGGCCTACGGAGAGAACAGTAGAGAACCGGCAACCAGAACGGTGAAGAAGGAAGAACAAGCAAGTTTGGAAAAAACAGGTTTAGCCGGTTCAACTGTCGCAAGGCTCAGCTTCAGCGAGGTAGTGGTGGGGCTGGGAGGGGACAAAGCAGCCGGCGTCACAAGTGCAAGTAGCATCCAGGTGCAGGATGCTCCAGCTGAAAAGTCACAGCATGTGATAATCGCCGGGGACTCGAATTTAAATCGATGCACAGAAGCCATCAAAGAGAGGGTAAGAGGTGACAAGAGGGTTGCAGTAGGGGCGTTCCCAGGACGCAAGCTTGAAGCAGTCATGAGGCAAGCGAGCGCAAAACTCAAAACTACAGCTGATAGACGAAACCTCGTGATAATTTCAGGCGGTTTAAACGATGTCTTAAATGAAGATACAGCAGGACTAGCAGCCACACTGGCGAAAGGCGTCGATGACATGCGTGCCACTTCTCCTAAGGTACAGGTAGGGATATGCACGATACCGGAGGTACCGGTGCGTGATAGCAACCTGCAAAGAGCGGTTGTCAACGCAAACCAAGAGATATGGCAGATGAGTCGAGAGAAAGGCTTTGAGGTGGTGGAAATAAACAGAGAGGTGCATAGGTGGGGTGATTTTCAACGAGACAGAATTCACTTCGATGGGCGACTAGGTCATGAGGTGGGTTGGCGACTTGCAGGACACGCAGTAGCTTTTTTGGGGAGCAAGCGAGCCCTTCGGGGTGCAGGATAGCTAGTAACGAGGAAAACAACCAGGGAGACTCTTCGACAGGTGTTATGGACAGATACGATTCCAAAGTGGCACCAATGTCTAAGATAGGTAGAGTCCGGGGCATAAATAGACGTAGCCACGAGTGCCGAGCCCATTCAGACATAGGGTATATTAACATGCAGGGTGGTAGGAACAGGCTGAAGTGGGAAGAGATAGAAGAACAGCTAAGGGAAGAGAGGCCGATGGTATACAGTTTTGTAGAAACACATCTCAGGGACATGGAACAACCTCCGAACAATCCGGACTATGCGTGGGAATATTGTA